TTTCTATGAAAGGTTAACACCTAGAGATAGGCAAATGGTTGAATTGATGTGCAATGGAACTTTTGAAGATAAAGACCCTGATGAAGCAATGAAGTACTTAGACTTATTAGCTGAAAATGCTCAAAATTGGGACACCGCGGGTACTTATGAGGGACCGAGTAAAACTCAACCTCATACATCTAGTAGAGGTATGTAGGTATTAGCACCCCTAGCGCATCCTACCTGAGGTAAGCTGCTTTACGGTTTAATGTGATTTGAAAATTTAAAATATTAATCAAATTCTAAGGTTTTAATAAATCAGTTATTAAATCCTAGAATATATATAGAAACATGTTCTTATATTTTCATGAGAAATATAACATGATTTTATCCTTTAGATATTGACCATATTCAAATTAAACACTTAATTCCTTTTATCTTTTTTATTTATTTTTATAATTAAGTAACAAAAAAAACAAACACATTCTCTTTCACTATATTTTTTCTTTTTTTCTTTTCCTTTTCTTTTCTCTCTTTCTTTTTACATCCAAACTTCCAAATATAGCTTCAAAACAACAAAACAAAAATTACATTACATAATTTGAAATTTATAAAATGGCCCCTAAAAACAATCTAGAATCACAGGGAAGGCCTTCTGCACCATTGAAATAGTGGCGGCACGTCTCCTCCACGCCCCACCGTCACTGGCGGCGGGTAGGTTCATGCGCCACTGCTGACAATGCACTGAGATGGGTGGATCAACCCTATTTTCTTCTTCCCTTCCCTTCTCTACTGGCTTTGGGAACCACCGTTACCTGCAAAGATAGTCCCTCAACTTTTCCTTTCGTTTTCTTTTCCTTTTTTTTTTTGTAAATTTTGATTTTTTCTATTTTTTGTATTTTTTTTTAAAGTGAGCAATATCAATGTCAACTCAACAAGAAAAATCAGTGATCATAAAATTTACGCGTTAAAAGTTGAACGTGTTTCAAACACCTTTGAAAATTTAAATTCTTTTGAGATGACGTTGAAAATGCTAAAAATAATGCAAATACATAAAAATGCATTTTAGGGGGGGTTTTGTTGTTTTTTTGTTATTTTTGATTTTTTTCTAAAACATTATCAAAAGCATGGGTAAAAAATTAGGTAGCAAGACTGTGGAAGAAGACACAAGAGGGAGCCTCAAACCATCAAAGGGTTGGGATTTCATCCCTAATACATACTGTTGGGATGAGGGATCATGTGAGAGGTCTCCAGTTTTTTGCTTGGCTATATAATCAAGTTGTTAGGTATTTTTGAAAAAAAAAAAAAAGGAATAAAGGAGGACATAAAGGGAGAACAAACAAAAGAGTGGAGGGAGACAGAGAGAGTTTAAATAAAAAAAGAAACAAATAGAAAACAGAGAGAGGAGAGGGAGACAGAGAAGTAAACATAGACAAAAAAAAAAAGAAGGAAAGGGAGACGGAAAGAGTTAAAAACACAGAAGAAGAAGAAAAAGAAGTAGAGACAAGGGAAAAGGAAAACATAAAGAAATGGGAAAAGTGGGAACCGAGAGAGCAAGAAGAAGTTGGGGTAGAAAATAAAGGGAAACAATGAAAGGGAAGGGAGTTTAACTTCAATCTATTCTTCTTCATCGGAAAGGAACTTAACAAAGCTCTAAAGAGTTTTTTTTGAAAAGTTCCTAACGATGAAAGAGGGAGTTTTTTGTTGGATCATCAAAGGGCGTTGCCCACCGGTTTGTTCTCTATTTTTTTTGCAAGTAAGGTCTACAAGTATAGGTTTCGACCCCTTTTTTTTCCTGCTATATTTAAGCCCTTCCATCTATATTTTGTTATGTTCCAAAATTGTTTTTTTATCTTTGATCTAGATGTATGTTTTCTGTTGAAAAAAGGGTGGCATGCTTGCTATTGTTCCATCCATGGTTCTAAGTTGTTTTTCTTTTGCTTATATTAAAGTTGCATATTCATTCATGTTATTTTTTTACGAGGGAATGAGAGTTTTAAAGGCCTTTATCATCCTTCGCCTCCTCTGCTTAGTGCCCCCTTGACTGGGATTTGTATAGGATGTTTTTCATATAGATTTAGTGTTCATTAATAAAGAAAAACACAAGAGGGGTTCCTTTGTATTTAAGGTTTTCTTTTGGCAGGCGTTTGGTTCACGTTTTTATTCTTGTTTATGTGAAAAGGGAGATAGAAGATGATTGGTCTATAGTTATGGTATTTAACATATGTAATACAAAGGCATGATGTTGAGGTTGTTTCCTTTAGCGTGAAACAAACATAGCAGAGCCTGAGATTAAGAAAAGGGGAGTGGCGGGGTCATGGTTTCTGCTATAGAATTGGGTTTCAAAGCTTTGATTTTCATGTGTATATGAATTTACTCTTTTCTGTTGAAAACAGGGGGTTATGTTATTTTTGGTTTCTGAGTTTGAGAGGATGGACCGAAGTCTATTGAATGAGATTTGGCTTTGAAAAGCTTTTTCCCCTACCGAGTTCCTCCTGCTTTGTTTTACACGCCTGTTTAAGTCTTGTAGTGTTAGAAATATATGTGATTTCCTGTCATTTTAATGATGTTTACTGTGATATTTATGTTTTGATGTAATAAAACTGTTTTCTTGTGTGTTGCATAAGGTCAATATCCTAACATATTTTTTTTTTTTTAAAAAGAAAATATTCAAGGTTTCAAAAAATATGTTTTAGCATGGATTTCTTAAACACAAAAATTATTTTCTTGCAACTTGGATTTTATAACGTGTTTGTAAATTTCAAAGGGTGGTGTCCAATATTCCAAAAATATAAAAATCTTATTTTTGGGAATTCATCTTTATTCACTATTAGTGTTTGGATAAAAAATCCAAAATGGAGTAAACATCCAAAATATTATTAGAAATAATTTGTTATTATTCACTATTAATGTTTGGATAAAGAAATCCAAAAGGAGTAAATTTCCAAAATATTATTAGGAATAATTTATTATTATTCACTACAAATATTTGGATAAAGAAACCCCAAGGGGGTTAATATTTAAAATATTATTGGGAATAATTTATCATTTGTTTATTGTTAATATTTGGATAAAGAAACCCTAAGTGGTAAATATTAAAAATATTTTTCTAGGAATAACAAGTCAGTATCCCTTAATAATATAAGGGAAAATAAACCTATGAAAGACAGATATCCAAAATATTGTTAATAAGAATACAACTTGTTTTTTTTAACATAAGGGCAGATTTATACCTAAAATTTTATTTAGAACAATTTAATTGCATATCCTTGAAAGAAGCCTCAATTAATTGGGGACATTTTAAATTTTGATTCCACAATTTATGAGTCATGAAAATATGAAATACTAAGGTAAAAATGGGCTTTTAAAGCACCTTCAATTTTCTTAGATTTCTAACTTAGTTTTTTTTTCTTTTCTCCTCCTTACGATTTACGAGTCACAACCACTTGAAATACTAAGTGAAAAATGAGCTCTTAAACACATTAAATCTCCTTAGATTTCTATTTTATCTATCTCTAAATTCATAAATTTTAAATTTATTTCAAATCAAAGATAGACTTCAATAGATCTACACCATTTCTTTTTGGTACTCTACTAACATATCTAAAGGTATGATTCATATTGGTCAAAGGTTCTTTATGATCCATATTTGTCAAAGGTTCTTTATGATCCATATTAGCCAAGAGTTATTTCCCTTAGACTTTGAACCCAAGTTCATTCATCATAGCAGACTTATCTTAGAAAACTGACGGGTTTAAAGAACATCAACACCATAAAAATCATAGGCAAACCAAACATCAAGTAACTTACCTTAGGTAGGGCGTACTAGGGGTGTTAAAACCTTCTTTTTACGCAACCAGTCCCTCACCTTAGAATCTCTGAAAGACCAATTAGGTTTTCTAGTGACAATAACACTAGGTGACTACTCTCTTTTTCACAAAACAAAGACCCTGAAAGCTAAGCCCTACTCCAATAAGGGTCGTCGCGACGTCGAGCTCTCTTGAGGGTATGACAAATAGCACCATTAGCATTTATTTTTCTTGCACAAACTAACTTCTTATTGATTAAAAATAAAGTTATTAAATCCATTTTAAAATTAATTTAATGATTAATGAGGTTAATTTTAATTTATAAGTGTACATATTTTTTAGAAAAATATTTTTTTAATTCTTTTGAAAAAATTAGTTTGTATTTTTATTAAATTAATTATGTTAGAATTGACACATAAAATTGTTTAAGTCAGTTTCTATTTATTTTAATTTAAAATTCAACTTAAATCATGTTATATATCAACAAATTTACACACTAATCAAGTTTAATAGCATTGATTAATACTTACCTATCATCTATCTACACTTGTTTATCCATAAATGCAAGGAGAAACTTTAAATTAGCCTATAATCTATAATACATTTCTAAATTTTGTTCCAAACAAAATATTTTATTAAATAGGTCAGAAGGTTTGAGAAATTTATCAATTATGTTTTTTCATCGATTGCTAATAAATTTTTTTTAAGTTTATTTGAGAGTATAGTTGCAGTTATTTTTCAAAATACATTTCATTTAGAAATATATTAAAATAAATTTTTTTTTATTTTAAAAAATTATTTTTGATATCAGCATATTAAAATTATTTAAAAATATCAAAAAATATTAATTTGAAGAAAAAAATTAAAAAAATTAAAAAATTTTAAAAAAATTTTTTTTAAAAAAATTTTAAAACAAAAAAAAACAGAAAAATTATTCGAGTAATGTTTTATAGCATAAAATATTTTAAAAAAATGATAAAAGAGCTCAATTGGGAAATTTCTGAAAAATTTAGGAATAATTAATAACATTTTGTTTTAGTACTCGATTAAAATAGCGTTTGGGAAAACAGCCTGCTCGGTAGAAATTTGAATTATTTTTATTTAAAATTATTTTTAATATTTTTTTTATCATTTTTATAGAATAATATCAAAAATATTATTTTAATATATTTTAAAATAAAAAACATACAATACCAAAAGCTACGAGTTAAGATAACTTGAACTCTTTAGACGTCTTGTTTCCGGTTCTAAAAAACTTCAGTTAAAAAAGATTGAAGCTTCGGCTTCTAAACAGCCGAGAATTCATGGCCAAAACATTGGCTTTCAGATCAATGAGAAGGGGTTTTGCATCTTCTGCTCTTAAATGGGAATGTGGAGTCTCAATGGTTCAAGGAGCTTCTAGAGGAATTGGCCTTGAATTTGTAAGCTTTTCTTGTTTTCACTTCAGTTGTTTTTTTAATTTTATACAAAGTTCTTGTCTTTTGGTTTCTTGCATTTGCCGAAAACGGTTGGTGTTGTTTTTTGGAGAAAGATTTGGAGAAGAATGTGGAAGCTAGATGATTGGCATTTGGCTCTTGATGATTGAACTTAGATTACTTGATTAACATAATTAAAGAAACTGTATGATTAATTAAGTATGTTGATTGAGACCTATCACATTGGTGGCTAATGTTTTTCTTCCCTTGTCTTGTCATAGTCTTGATGAATTACTAGAGAGCTACTGGTTTGGTTCTTTTCTTTTATTTTCCATTTTGCATTGAAAGGGTGTTCATTTCCTTGATAATCAACGAAAGGGCTTTCCTTTTTTTGGTTGTTCGTTTACGAAAGATGAATTTTATGGACTAATTCATCCTTGGAGTCATTTAAGGATGCCAAACATTTTCATATGTCAGTTTTCATTGCTTTCTCAGCTGTAGTTAGTTGCATTGTTGTGCTAAAATTCTTAGGAACAATCTGATTAGATTATGGTGCTGTTGCGTGCCAGATTGCTTGGTGGCATCCCATTGGATATGAATTTTAGACTCCTTTTAAGAATATAAATGCCCTCAATTTTCTTCCAAGGTAGAAGGACTTTGTAATAAGTTGATTTAGTATCGGTCTTGGACTCTTGATGCCAACTGACTTTTGGGGAAAATAAATGACAAAAACCAATTATTCTTCTGCTTGGGTTAATTTATGTTGTCATTAGATTGTAATTTATCAGTGCGAGGAATCAGTTGAGTCTGTGAGCAAAACTTGACTTGTGTACTGATGCAGGTTGAACATCCTCTGGAAAAGAATGACAAAGGGCATGTTATTGCTACTTGCTGAAATCCTAGTGGGGCAACGGGAATTACTGATTTGAAAAATAAGTTTGCTGAGCGCCTTGGCATTTAGCCATTAGACCTCACCATTGAAAGCACTATAGAGGTTGGTGCTTATTTCTTGGTTGCTATCTATTGCTCTTTCCTAGACTAAGAAAAATCCACCTTTGCTTTCTCTTATGAGCCCAGTTGTCTCGGTTTTAGGCTTCCTCCCTTTATGAAATTCCTGTGAATGCTCTGGTCTGATCTTTCTTAATAGCCAGATAGAAATTTCTTCTGAAGAGCCATGTTCTGCTTTCTTTTTTGGTGTGGCTGTTTGTCGGTTAAGATCAACAATTCATGAATGCTGGAATATCAAGCGTATTGAATACCAAAATTAGTCATGTTTTCATAGTTTTTTCTTTCAATATCCCGAAAAAATTGTAGAGGATGTCTCCCTCGGAAGGGACATTGCGAGCATGAAGCAAAATGCAGGAAGAATACCTTGTGACTTTTCTTAATAAGAGGAAAGAAGGCTTCATTTTAAATCGATCCATGGGTAAATGGAAAGCTATAGCACAAAAAGAAAAAAAAAATCACAAGCATTTCCTAAGCTGTTTATAACTAGTAATAGTAGTTATTAGTATCGAAGAAATAATTATTGCAGACACAGAAATTTCTTTGTAGTGTTAGCCCTGAAGAGATGTGTTCAAATATAATGGTAGTATTATCAGGCTTCATTTATTGCCCCTTTTGTTTCTTCTTGGAGGTAATGATTCACAACATAGCTTAATATCACTGTTTGCCATTTGCAGCGCATGGGGCCTCTTCTGATGGCTGGAGGAGACTTGAAAGGGATGTTGCGTGGTTGCCAATTTAAGTGCCAGGGTTGGCTCAAATGAAGAAAATCATCTAGGGGGCCGGCATTCATATCGATGTTCAAAGTCTGCTTTAAATCAGCTTATGATTTTCTTGATTTACGGCTTCGATTTTTATCAAATTTAACTGTTCACCAGCAATGAAATTTTACATTACCGCAAGGTGTGCCCTTTCAGATCCGAGCATATTTTATGTGGATGTGATAACTTGGCTTGAGCTCCCCACTGTTTGCTAGTATTGCTATTGGGTATGACAAGAAGATCCATGATCACTTTAGTGACGGGCATCTATGTTGGCTTGTGTTTATTTACACCTTCGCAAGGAATATTCTATATGTCAACTTTCAACACTCTTGTGAGTGCAACTTGGCAAGGAATCTGTCATGGGTACCATTGCCTAAAATGTGAGACTACTAATGCATATGGGGTACCTCATTTTCTTTTTTTGACCATCCAATGCACATGCTACCGATTGGCGATGCAAAGCACAAGCTCGGTGTCCTGAAGTCCTTGCGAGGCAGGAAATATCAGTGAAGAAATAATTACTTTGTGAACAAATTTCTGTGTTCTTTGAATGAGATTCTAAAAGATTCCCTACATGGCATTTACTTATGTGAAGGCTTTTTGGATGTCATTTGCTTCATGGTTACACTTCTTTCAAAAATTGTGAAACCTTACTGGATGTCACCTCCCTCATCTTGTCCATCCACTTCCTTCGAGTAAACATTTTCCACCTTAAAAATTTCACGCGCACACAATCAGTACACTTTCCCATCTCCCCTTTCCATTGACTAATATGATTCAAGTTTCTGATCTTCTAGCAACTCACTTAAATCATGTCTTGGAATGATTTTGATTGGTAGTCCCTTAAGAATAAGCAAATACACATCAAGAGGATGACTATGACCGTGGCGTGGAAACGTGGTATCTTGGTGTGTGTTTACACATAACTCTGTTTGGGGCCGTAATCAATCGCTGTTAGCTTTAGTTATTGTTTTATACCAAACTAAAATGACGCACCTTAAAGTCCTCATTATTTGACTTCTCTTGTGATAGTATTTGTTTTGTTTGCTGATTGCAGCGACAAAAACCGTGTCGGTAGAGTTTGCATCAAAGAAGGATCCGATAATAGGCATCCTTCTGCACCCTGGCACAATGGACACAGACCTATCTAAGCCATTTCATAGAAATGTTCCTGAAGGCAAGCTTTTCACCAAAGAGTTTGCATTGCAGAAACTCTTAAGCTTCATTAATAATGCAAAAAGGCAAGATAATGGCAAGCTGTTTGCCTGTGATGGCCAGGAAATACCGTGGTAATCGCTTAGTGTGGTAGATTGATTAAAAATTGATGACTGAGTGATGCAGTAGGGTGATCCATTATTTTTTATCTTTTTTTTGTTCTCCCTGAAGCAAATTTGTAAATCCTAATCAAGAACAATATGCTACCCCAAGGAGCAAGGTAGGATCTAAGATTAATTTTTTGGTTTCTTATTTGTAACTTAATTTTTCACTTGTGAAATGCTAATTATTCGAGGCTTCATTTGGTTTTGAAGCAATCAAATTGTTGGCAGGACTGCACATGCCAGCATTCTTGGTGATAATTTGATGCTCCCATAAGGCCATGCTTATTATACACATGATGTTTGCATAAAGCTCCTTTTGTTATGGCTGTCTATGTCAGTGATAAATGGACAATTTTGGTAGTCAATGGACTTGGTCTTTAGGGCCTAGGGCCTGATAACTGGATATGAAGAGAGCAGAACATTGTGCTTGCAAGAAAAGGTGAGCAAATGAAGCAGAGCAGGTGGCTCAACTCAACTTGTTTTCTTCACTACCCTGCATGTTTTTAGTTCGGTTTATCTATATTTCAACACTGCAATGCATGTCTTGCCATACGTCAAAATTCGAAGTTTAGCACATGACAAGATGATAAGAGGAGGAAGAAATGAAAAACATGAAAACTTGATTTAGAAGCCAATATAGTATCAAATCACATGATTATTAATGTACAAAGTAGGGTCTAGCAAAAGACCACATACATTGCCTTCAACTGTTTTATTCAACCAGTAGTAAATCCCCATCATCTCTTAAGAAACTCTTCAACCACTGCTCAACTTCATTGTAAGAAATCTATTGAATCCTGCAAAACCAAATTCAAAGCATGAACAATTCATTAGGTGCTCCTGCTTTTAGTGCTTAAGCTGTGAGGAGAACGATCAACGGAACCTATAATGTAACAAGATTATACTTACGCATCACAGTTGACGCTTGTAGAGACGGGGAATCCAACTTTAATGTTGCAAGCTCCAGGAATCTTGCTCAAGAACTGGTCTTTCACCCCTAAAGAGCCTCCGGCAGCCTTCAAACACTTGCAAATAGCCTTCTTATCATCAACTGTTTTAACAGTCTTGGCAAGCTCTTGCAGCCCAGTGCAGCAAGCAGGAGTTGGCTTAGGAGATTTTCCAGTGGCAAACCCTACACAGGCAGCTGCCTTTTCATCAACAGTGCTGCATGGAACAGCTGCTTCGTTCATGTTGGCAAGGAAAAAGAGGAAGGAGAGGAGGAAGATCACATAAAAGAAAGTGTTCTTCATGGTTTTCTAGTGTTCAAAGTAAATCCCAATAAACTCTTGGATGTTGCAAATGCAGCTACTAGTGTTGGTTGATGGACAATGATCTTCATGGGTATTTATTGGGAAAGATATTGTCTTTGGGAACTGGGATTTTGTCAAAGTTTGAGCTTTCCAATGAGTTCTGATTATGTTGCAGGTCAAAATTCATTGGGTTGATCATCCTGGCAGGACTTTCATGGCAGGGCTGTATATCTTCATATTGGTTTCACACATGCAGGCACCTTAATGGTCACATATTTTCATCAAACAAACAAGTATATGTTCTAGACCAGGTTAGTCACATGTGTAATAATTTTCCAAAATGTTCGTCAAAAACACTTCATATGTAAATAAATTCCAGTAATTAAATTATATGCATACATACGGTGGATACATAACCCTGTAGCTAGGCCATTTCAGAGAACTCAATACAGAAGCTCTTAATCATCATTAATAATGCAAAGAGCAGAGACAATGGCGATTTTTTGTTCTTTTTGTCTTAGAGGGCTAGGAATTTCTTTACTGGCATGGAACATTTAGTACGTCCGGGGTCAAATGAACAAGATGGAGTAGCAAAAAAAGTTTGAACATGTTAGAAGAGCTTTATTTTTCCTTTTCTGTTCTCCCTTAATATGATGCAAATTAGTAGAATCATATATAATACCTCAAGCTAGCAAAGAACATATATAATATTACTTCAAGCAGTTCAAGGGAGTCGGGGGAATGCGTGGCTAGTTCGTTTAGGGGGGCACAGAGAGAGCCCAAGGGGATGCTTGACCAGTCCCCTGAGGAGGGATGCAAGGTCAGTCTGGATGTATTATTTTTGTTGAGTCATGTAAACACCTCGAGTCCAATTCAACGAATTTTGTAGGGGATCTCAAATTTTATCCCTCGTCAGATTTACACACTCATGCAAGGTTGTTAAAATCGCGTTTTGACTCGTAAAATCGTACGATTTTACAAGTCAAAACATGCTTTACGTGTTGAATCGCTTGAAAAAATCGAAAATGAATAAAATCGGGTTGAAATCGGGTTAAATCACAAAAATCGGATGAAATCGCGCAAAATCGCGATTTCAAGACTGATTTTGCGATTATGCCAAAATGAGGTGCTGAAATAAAATCCTCCTCTCTTGTCCAGCTGTCAAGCACCTATTGCATTTTTTTTTGCACAGTCACAGACTCACGTGACTCTCTTCACTTCAGTGAATTAATTCATTGTCTTCAATCTTCACAAATCACAAAGCGCAAAATACTCTTCCCAAGTTTCCTAGCTGAACAAATCCCTAATCGGCAACCATAACAACGGCGACAGCGATCTCCATCCTCCACAAAAGCGGTCAATGACAGTGCTTACGGTCCAATGACTCCAGTTTTTACTCCTTCTTTTTCCTTAGTGCTCACGGTCGCGACAACACATGAACCAAGATTGGTATGTTTAAAGACCTCTACTGCAGTCTCTGAAATTGAAGTGCTTCTTGAATAAAAATTGAAATTAAGGTTTGAATTCTTCATGTGCTTCTTGTAAAAGCTTTTCCATTATTCAGTATTCATTCCTCTGCATTTCTTTATTTATTTGGTATTGTCCATTTCCATTATTTGGTAATTGTTCCTCTGTATTTCTTTATTCACCTGATAAATTAGGAATGTATTTTCCCACGTTTTTTCTCACAAAATATGAGGTTGAACATTACTTCCTTTTCTGTTTATCATGATTTTAACAGCGACGGGCCGACGACAATCTCCTTAACAGCTCACGGCTTCGGGCTTCCTCTGCAATCTTTATTAACAGCAGCACGCCGGCAACGATCTCCTTTCTTTCCCATCTTCAACAGCAGCAGGCGACATCGGGCCTCTTCACAAGCAGCCGTTTAGCTCATCATCATCATCTTCAACAGCAGCGGGCGACACCGTAAGTTCATTTTGCCTTCATCATCATCACTGCAGTAGTAGATTTTGCCCCTGTAATAGATTTGTATTTTGCCCTGTTAAGTGTTGAGTTTAATTGTCCGGTAATAAAGATTTGCATTTTGCCCTGTTCATTTTGCCTTCAAAATCTTCTAATAGATTTGTATTTTGCCCTGTAATTCATTTTGCCCAGTCCTGTAATTTGTATATGTATAATGTTGAATTGAATGGAATTGATCGGGTGAGAAAATTGTTGAATTGAATGCCACAGTATATACTATATATCTTGACTAAATTGGACTAAATATTACTCGGGTGAAAATTGAACTGAAAACTGTTGAATTGGACTAAATTGAATGTCATTTCAATATTATAGGACTGAATTGAATTAAATTAATGAGATGAAAATTGGATTGAAAAATATTGAATTGGACTGAATTTAATGTCATTTCAGTATTATAGGACTGAATTATTTGAAGCATGAATTTTTTTTTATGTATTTTAAAATTCCTTACGATTTTACGATTTTACGATCCATTTTTACGATCCGAGTTTGTTTAGTACTTTCCGTGCCGTGTTAAAATCACGATTTTAACAACCATGCACTCATGTGCGTATAGACATTGTATTGATAGGTGGTCATTGCACTTTTTCAGCCATAACAAGCACTCAAAGCTTAATTAAGAATCAGATTCGCATCATCTCACTGTGATGATTTTAATCAAATCCATCAACACTATAGTGTACTATCCATGTAGACATTAATAATCACACTTGTTTTCTTACATGGGAAAAGCATTTCATATCAGTATAGATACAGAATATTTGAGCTAAGGCTTAATTTCTAGTATTACATGGCTGCAAAGTTATGATACAAAAATGAGGTGAATTCAAGTGCCTTTTATAGGCTACAAAGCTGACTTGATGTAGTCTGATCGTTGGTCTTTCGTAGCTGTATAATCTTTCTAAGTCGCACCTGATTACTTTCAACTGTCATCTAAGGTGTTTGTAGGTTAGAGCACCCCTCTAATGATTTTTATTTTTCATAGGGATCAGGCCCCAGGATTTTGGGCTGATGGTTAGTCATTTGATGTTTCAAGCGGCCAGGAATCTTGCTTAAGAACTAATATTTCACCCCAAAAGAGCCTCCAGCACAGCCTTCAAGCTGGTTCAAGTACTTGCAAATAGGCTTCTTATTGTCAACTCTTTAACAGTTTGAGCAAGCTGCTGCAGACCAGGAGGTCTGGCGAACCCCACACTAGGGCAGCTGCCTCAGCATTGACGTGCTGCTGCATGGAACTGCTGCCTTGTTAATGTTAACGAGGCAGAAGATGAAGGAGAGGAGGAAGAACACAGTGAAGAAGATGTTCTTTATGGTTTTGTAGTGTTCAAAAGCAACTTCTAATATTGACAAATATACTTACTCTTGTTCTGTATTGCAAATGCAGCTAGTAGCTTTGGTTTTATGGGGAAAGATTTAGTCTTTACTCTTTAATTAAAAACAGGGTTTTGCCTCCGCTGTTGTCCTGAAAAGGAAAGTGAAATTGCCAAAACAATTTCATAAAAGCATATAGGTGGTTAAGGCCAAATGGTCGGTATAATAAGAGATTCAAACTACAGAGATGTGATGAAATACTAAACTGATCCATTAAAATCAACACCAAATTACATCATTGTTCAGACCAAAAGAGTGTCAGACAAGGACCTCATATGGCGTTGCCTAAACTGTCTTATTTAGTATGATGTAATTTAAACAGCCTCATGGTCATTTAGTGGATCCTGCAAAACACAAGGAAAGAAAATCCAAATTAACCTCGTTTCCTTGAAGCTTTGAGGCAAGATCAATGGACATCAACACCTTATAATGTAACAACAGTATAGTTACGCATCACAGTTGACGCTTGTAGAGACAGGGAATCCAACTTTGATGTTGCAAGCTCTAGGAATCTTGCTCAAGAACTGGTCTTTCACACCCAAAGAGCCTCCGGAAGCTTTCAATCATTTGCAAATATAGCCTTCTTATCATCAACTGTTTTCACAGTTTTGGCAAGATCTTGCAGCCCAGTGCAGCAATCAGGAGGTGGCTTCGGAGCTTTGCCAGTGGCAAAATCCAGACAGGCAGCTACCTTTGAATTAACAGTACTGCATGGAACAGCTGCCTTGTCTATGTTGGCAAGGCAGAAGAGGAAGGAAAGTAGGAAAAGCATCGAGAAGAAGAGGTTCTTCATGGCTATGTCTTTGACTCCTGTCTAACCTTGCTATGTGGAGGCAATATAGGTTGGTGAAGAGTGCTTGGGGAGGTCATAGGTTTCTATAGAGAAGGACTGAAGGCATGCGGGACTTTGTCATCAGTTGATTTTTGGGTTCCCAATGAAGAAATGATAGGCAACTTTGTGGATAGCTGCTTCATTCGGGTTGCCATTAATAAGTGTTTTATTCAGCTAAATTGTCATGGAATAACTTGTACAAAAATAAGAAAAACCTAAATTATCTATAAAATATTCATTTATGCAATGTAATTAAACTTGGTCGGAGTATATCTAAGTTAAAGTGTCAGCGTATATTTAAGTAAAAATTTAAAGTCATACATTTAATCAATCAAGTTAACCAGATCAATTTAAAATAATTTTATTTTAATGTTTTAAAAAAATTAAAATAATATTTTTTAAAAATATAAAAATTAAATTAAATTTTAACTGCATTTTGACCTCGTCCCTTGAGTTTATCTACATTAATTTTTATATAATTTAATATAAAACCCAATTTATAACATATTCCATTCCAATAGATTATCGGGTTGATCCGTTCAGTTCAATAAATTTAACACTGCAATTATATATATAATTACTCCAACATTGCATAAATGAATATTTTATAGATAATTTAGGTTTTTCTTATTTTTGTACAAGTTATTCCATGACAATTTAGCTGAATAAAACACTTATTAATGGCAAAAAATACCATATAAAAAAGATAAGAGAACTCCAAAGTAGGTGTCAGGTTCCAAAACCGAGAGAAACTATTCCTGTTGGGAGTTTGATGCAGCAAATTCTGAAATTCCTCAGAACCTGTTGAATACTGAAGACTTGAACCTGCTGTCCACTCTTCTATCTTGAAATCCAAGCTTCGAAGAGAAACAGTCTGCTTACCAAAAACACAAAACTTGAGGAGGATATTTGTAGCATAACATTCCTTTTGAATCTGAGTCCTTATCGAATGTTTTGTATGCTATTGAGATTATTTACATATATAGAGTTTATTAATTCTGATTTCTCTGTATAATTTAGTTGTAATTAGAATATTGCTTTGTGATTTCCAGTTGGGTTAATTTTTTTAATATAAAAACAATTATCCAAGTGTTTTTAATATATTTTCTAAGAAGATTTTTTTTTAATCATCAACGAAAATGTAATGAATATTGGATTTTTTTTTAGATATTGATACAATGATATATTGAATAATTTGTTTTTAAATAATAATATTGTAATATATTGGATTAATCTAAGTTAACTTATTAAATTTATGATCCAAGTTATAAAATCATAATAATTTTATAAAGAACAAATCAAAATAAATTATGAAAGTGAATGTTTAATCAACTTAATGTTGAAAGACAAAATTAAAAAATAAATATATTAAATTAAAAAACAAAAACAAAAACTCTCTCAAATCAACAAATATTAACTTGCTAAACTTGTAAATCTATATCACAAGATTAAAATAACTCTATAAAAAATAAAAAATATATATATATAATTTAATTTACATTCAATTTAATATTAAAGAATAAAATTTAAAAAAAAACTTTACTAAGTTTTATTTCCAACATATTTAATAAAGTCAACTGAGTTTTTTTTCAATTTTTTAATTTAGATTAGTTTAGATTTCAAGTCAATTTTATCCCAAATCAATATGTAAGGTTTGTCTAAATTTTTAAATAATGAGTCAAATTAATCTAATTAGGTTGTATATATTAAAAAAATTATATTTTCTTGAACAACTTTATTACTTCCTAGCTAGTGATTTCCATATTATTATTTTTTTAAAAAAAGGCTCGATGGCATAGTGTTCCACATTTATCAAATACACACAACTTGTCTCTTTATAATTGTGATAAAAAAAAAAAATTAACCTCAATATTTTATTAACTTCTTGCAATCAAAAGGAAAACTCATAAAATAAAAGAAGGAAATCAATTAATTATTTTCTTGAAAGCAAGAAATTTACAAGAAATTAGGACCACCTAAAACTAAAATGAAGATGGACAATCAGCTCCTATTGCTAACATTACAATAAGGAAAGTTGTTACTTAGGAAGTAAATTGAGGATAATTAGGCCATATTTTAAAAAAAAAAAAAAAAAAACAAGGTAAACAGCAACAGACTCTACTTGGACATAAACAAATTTCTGCTATTAACCATCCAAGAAATTGCTCCCCCAGCAACTCTTGATCGATCTCCTCAACGATATTCAAAGGTTTTGCATGGATCTCTTGGAATCATTGGCAATGGTTTGAACAAAATCTCTTGGAACCAAGCACTTTTGCTCTAAGTACAACTTCTCTTGAATTGTTGGAGACGTTACAAGAGTTTGAAGTTCTTTAGTATGCATTGCCTCTGTGTTTTCCTGTAACATTTGTTGAATGAACACATAGGTTATGGAAAGACAGAACATTTCAGCCACTAAAAATTTATGAGGAACACGAAAGTTTTAATTACCTGAGTAGTCCCCGTGAGTTCAAGAATTCCAATTTGAGCCTGCAAGAACTTGACATACTTGGAAGCAGATTGGAACATTTCAGCAGTATTCATCTTATTTCCACCAGGAATCAGCTTTCCAAGCTCCTGTGTCTTCTCAGTAATCTTCCTTCTCCTCTCACGCGCAGCGATGCTCTGCGCAGACAAGCTGACTCCTGTGCTTGGTTTCTTTGAATTCATCATACTCAGAGTCCTCCCGACATTGAAGGTTGTTGGAACCTGAAACTTGGGCTCTGGAACTGGGATTTCTGGCAAGAATTCTGGGGGCCCTGGATTGGGATTCGGCACATATCCTTCAAAGAAACTTGTTGCAAATTTTGTGTTGAAATGGTCTGTGTAGAGTTTTTGGCGTTTCGGGCAGGCGTAGGACTCGAAATCTTCAAGAGGAGAGATTTCGGGGGAAAGAGGGCTTGTGTTATCCGAGGGAGAAGAGGAGAATGGGAGGAGATTGGTGTAGCTATCTGAGTAAAACAGCTGATCGTCAACCTCATACAAAGGGTTGATGAAAGAATCTGACAACATCAGCCTGTCATTACAACCAAAGAGCTCATGATTTCCTATCTCTACGCTGCCTTGTGGATAGGCGGTTAACTCTGGAAGGCTGTGATGCTGAAGTGATGATCCCAGGTTTGAACAGATGCTTAGAGCCATGGAGGATAGAATCTAGAAAAGAAAAAAGATCAGAAACTTCCATCAAAATTTGATCATTATATGTACTAATTGTCATTAACTTCATCAATCAACACAAACATTAAGTTCAAGTACTGCTAGCTATTGCAAGCAATAAAACAACAATCCAACAAATAGCTCGGAGATGAAGACAAATAGGCCAATAAGCCTATAGCACGACTAGCACATCGATCAATGCCCCCCTCTGCTTTGGAGGTCTCGAGTTCATATCCCATTTTGAGCAAGAAAACAGAAGAGCAGAAGCTGAAGAGTTTTAAGGCAAGAAGCAAGGACAACTAAAAGGACCAAAGTGAATATTATACAATCATGAGACCAAAGACAAATGCAAGATACCATGAAAAGAAATCCATAAGACAATGAGACGTAAAGAAAGAGAGATACCATAGATATTGTCCCTTTTAATTCAAGAAGACCTGAAGTCACTCACTAACCAACCTTATCAAACTAATCACACTAACACAAAGACTAACAGCTTGAAACAGAAAAGACTTTGCTAAATATTATGGTTATGTGACAGAGAGGGGGAGAGGTGGGGAAGTGGGGAGTTAGAGTTTTTGTAGGAGATTAATGAGGGGATTATGGGCTTAAAGATGGAGTAACCAACTCCTAATAATTGGGGAGCCTTAATTTGGGAAATACATTAGATTTGTCCCTGCATTCTTGTTTCTTTGTCAATATCATCCTTGCGCTAAATTATTTCTTAATATCATCCCTACACACCGTTCTCCATCGGTAACACCAAACCACGTAGTTTCGCAGTTGGGTTGGCCTTTACCTGATGAACAACGAGTAGAATATAAATATCAAGAAACACGACCCGTAATTATTAACACTACAAGATGTCGATGTGCGACTGGGTCGACCATTGACAAGAACTTGTTCGGAAATGGGTCATGATCAGAGACAATATTATTGACAGAGGTTTGGTGTGTAGGGGTTAAATTAAGAAATAATTTGGTACAAGGACAATATTAAAATATTAACAAGAATATAGGGACGAATCTCAAGTATTACCCACTCTAAACTATACTTCAGGTGGTTTTTTCTTGTTTATTTAGCAGCTAGGATTTCCCATTAATTCTCTATAAACCGTTACGTTGCTTGGCGGCTACTATATATGTATATTACTGCTTCCTAATTAATTAACCTTGCAGTTACTCTTGCTTTAATTTTGCTTTGTTTTAACAAATTATTTTCCATTTTTTATTGCTAAGATTGATTAATGTTAATATTAGGTGTTTTTCTCTTGATTTTGAAGAAAAAATTGTTATAAAACCAAGACCGTATCAAACCGGCCGGGTTTTTTTATTCGGTTTAGTTTTTTAGGGTTTTTGCTTATAAAACCTAAATTAAATTAAATTGGCTGGGTTTTTTTAAATTTTAATTGGTTTAATTAGTTTTTTCATGGTTCCGTTTTTCAGTTTTTTATTTTATTTTCTCAATTTAATTGATTTTTTTGTTTTTTTGCTTATCCTTAGCAGTTACTCATGCTTTAATTTTGCTTTGTTTTAACAAATTATTTTTTATTTTTTATTGCTAAGAATGATTAATGTTAATATTAACTATTTTTCACTTGATTTTGATGAAATTTTTTAAAAAGTTATAACAAAATAATGATTTCAAATTATTTTTAATTATTTGTTTTCGTGTTGCCATAATAATTATTTAATTGTTGAATGAGTTATTTTTTCTTTAGTAGTGATTGATAAAAAAAAATTTATTTGCGAACACTTTTCATGTTAAACCTAAATTGGATAATATGAATAAATATTAATTTAAATATAATTAGCAAAATAATAAAATAAAATTACAAATTGAGGTTATATTAATATCTTGTTGAAGATGTGAAAGTAGATGTTACTTACCAAGAGAAAATTGTTGAAATTCACAAGTATTTATTGGTTTAGTGTTTATAAATACAGAAACTCGATCCAAGTCCAGTTTCATGTTAATAAAATTGGATTGGTTTTTATAATACTAGGTTTAATTTTTTAATTTTAGATTTGAGCATTTAGCTAATATTAGTTAAATGGTTCGTGCTATATTGTAAGTTAATTTTTTTTAACATAAAAAATTTGTTTATGCAATATTAATTTTTTAAAAAAATTAAGATTTAATTAGTTAATTGAAAGAGATCGCAATCGTTGTTAGAACAATTATATGGAAAGCGAACAAAATAAAACACCATAAAATGAAAATTTTATACTTGTACTTAATTAATTAAATTTTAAAATAAAAATCCTTTTGAAAAAGACAAATTCAACAAAAGGCCAAAAACAAAAAATATGAGGTAACCTATGTTATGTTCAAATCGATTAAAAAAACCCATAGAAAATAGGGGGGAAAGTACAAAAAAAAATCAAGTATGTCTGGATGAACCTTTTAAATTCTAGTCTCAAGCTCAACCAAAAAGCTCAGTACCTGACTAATTTAATGTTAAATGATAAAATTAATTAATTAAATTAAATTAAAAAAATAAAAATTTCTTTTAAAAAAGATAAATTTATTAGAGACTTGCAAAAAAAAAAAACTGAAATAATCTGTGTTATTTTAAAAACGAATGAAAAATCTCATAAAAAGTGAAAAAAATATTGGAGGATCAAAATCGAAAAACATAAGCTTAAAAGAAAGGGAGACAAACAAATCCAGGTGAATCTCATAAACTTGAGTTAATCTTTCAAACCTGTAACCCATTAAATTCTAGAAACATGCTCAATCAAAAATTTGAACTCTAGATCAATTAAATGTTATAGGATGAAATTATAAAAAAATTAATTTAAAAACTTTTTAAGGTAAAAAAATAGTAATAAAAAAAAGGATTATATTTGATAAGAAAAAAAATTAAATGATGAAATTGTAAAAAAAAAAATTAATTTTAAAAAACCATCTTAGATAAAACAAATAATAATAAAAAAAATGATGATCAAATTTGACTAATGAAAAAATTCATGGGAAATGAAATTGAAAAAAAAATTCTAACTTAATAAATTATTTTAAATAAAACAAATAATAATCAAAAGAATAATAATCAAATTTGACTAATGAAAAAATCCATGGAAAATGAAATTGAAAAAAAAATTCTAACTTCATAAATTATTTTAAATAAAACAAATAATAAAAATAAAAATAAAAAAAATAAAATTAAAGGATTATTTTAAAAATTTAAAAGGCCAATAAAAAATCAATAAAAGAGAGAAAAGAAAAGAAAAAAGCCACACTCGCAAAACCGAAGACAATTATATCATGGTCACCAGCTATGTGTGTAGGGGCCACCAAGAGATATTTCGTTCATTACTCCCAAACTTGGATTTCAACCATCGAAAGATGTTGCACACACCTTTCAAAGCCTGTAGCCATTGTTCACGCAACTTCAGCTTGTTTTCTAACCTTGTTACTTAGCAATTGATCTTAAACTTGAGAATCACAAAATAACCAAATTTAAAAGACCAAAGCACCCCAAAAACAAAGACAAGTTTCTTTTTTAATTCAAAATGCAATGAAGTAATTTAATTCTGTTTAAATTAAGTAAAAAATAAAAAAGCCCATGATCAAGGTTAAAATAGTAATTTATTATTATTTTAAAAAACATTACAGGTTTATAAAGCCTTAAAACTATGTTTAGAAAATTTTAATTTCAAAGATAATTAAGTAATTTTACTATGATGAATAATGTTAAAAACCTTCTTGCCTTCTATTCAACCTGTAAATGACTTTTTTATTATTAGAAAAAGATTATTCTATCCAATGCAAGATTTGATGATCTTGAAATGAATAACAAAATCACCACTATATTATTTATTTTAACATGAAATTCATTAACTTTTTGATGTTAATGAAAGAGAGGAAAAAAGAAAACAGAAAATCATACTTGCCAAATCAGAGACAAGTGTATTATGCTTGCCACCTATACATGGAGGGGCTATTGAGACGCTTCAATCATTACTCCGAAAGCTAGAGTTTGACCATCGAACGATAGCATACGAACCATCTAAAGCATGCAACTATTGTTCATGCTTCTCTAATTTTTTTTTAATTTTTTTTTATTTAGCAATCAATCCTATCAGCTCTAATGAAACTTGAAAATTATAAATAACCAAATTTAAAATACTAAAGTATCATAAGAACCCCATAACCAAGGTTAAAATAGTAATTTACTACTTAAAAAAAAGTTTATAAAATTTTAATTTTAAAAATAATTAAATAATTTTACTATTCTGAATAAATGTTAAAAACCCACATGCCTTCCATTCAATTTGTAAATGACCTTTTGACCATGCCTGCAATGAAAGAGGGGGGAAAAAACCACTCACCACCTAAACATAGAGAGGCCGTCGAGACGTTTTGGTCACTATCCCTCGAGTTAGATTGAAACCATCGAACAACACCGCACACACCATTCAAAACATGCAACCATTGTAAACACACCTCGATTTTTTTAAAACTTTTTTATTTAGTAATTGACCTTATCACCCCTAATAAAACTTGAGAATTATAAAATAACTAAATTTAAAAGACTAAAGTACCCTAAGAAGCCCATGACCCTAGTTAAAATAGTAATTTCTGCTTTTTTAAAAAGAAAATGTTTATAAAACCCTAGAACAAAGTTAAGAAAATTTTAATTTTAAAGATGATTAAGTAATTTTACCATGCTAAATAAATGTCAAGAACCTACCTGCCTTTTATTCAATAATTTCTAAATGACTTTTTGACTATCAGAAAAGGACAATTCTACCCCATGCAAGGCTTGATGATCCTGGAAAGAAGAAAAAAACCACCACTTCACTATTTGTTCTAACATGGAGTTCATTAACCTTGTGATGTTCAAACATGCCTTCATTCTATGAAACAATACTAAAGAAATGAAGTCATTCGTATAAATGCGTATGCTGTTCAGTTTCTGGCCTGGTACCATCAATAAAAATGGGACAAATTGTATAAAAAAGGAGAGAAAATAACACAATGTGTAGAAAACAAAACAAAAAATGTCGTCCTGCCTGTCTAACAGTTCCATAAACTTGTCTTGTAAACCAGGTTGCTGCAAAATTGCTTCCATCTGGGAAGAAATCAAAACTTGGCACCTGAGACACCTACAGATACAATTAAGATCAACCACTAGAATTGATTTTGTTTTTTCACAAATGTCAGAAGAAAAAAATAATAACTAAGGACTTGTGAATTGAAATTTGATGCACCTTACAATAGGAATTTATGGCTCATCAATCAATGAATGAAGCTGCTCTCGGAATGTAGAAATTTTATCTGCCTCGACAGCCATTACTAATCCCATTGGCCGGTAGTTTTTTAGCTGTAAATTATCAAAATAATTAGCTAACAGTTCTATTATTCAAGCCATCAATGTTAAAAGTAAATGTCCAAGGGAAGCAATAACGTAGTGCTGAAAGACCTGGTCACCAAAACAGCACAACAAAAACCAACTGAGGTTTGACAACAGTAGCTCACTGATATTTAGAGGTTCTTCATCTAGGGAAGTTGAGAAAAAGAATACTGTAGACAGCTATGCTAGGAAATAACAACAAAACAGTAAAAAATCACAATTTTTTTACAAATAAGAGTACCACCGGTTCTATCATTAAGTTCAAAATCACTAGCATTAAGTTTGAAGTACACTCCAAAATGCAATCAACAATGTAACCTCTTCAAGATAATAGCATTATTACTACGAACCTCACGAGCTGTAACCTGCTCGGCATGAAAAGGAAAGTTGAAGGACCACAAGCTGAGCTGAAATGTAACTGGCAACAATCAGTGAAAGAACGAGATGCAAAATACTATCAATAAAAGTAAAAGAATATGTACCTTGTGAAAAATTTCATCTTCAGGATTCACATATATAATTGCTTCCTCACTATCACTACTTAGCTGGTTTTTCTTGTCTGCATTCTTGTGCTGCAATGTAGCGAGAGAAAAGAGTGTTGATTTGATCATGAAGGAACAAAAATGGACGTACAAAGAGGAGGAAGAATCCAGGACAGACATACCATAATGGAAGTACAAAGAGGAGGAGGAAGAATCCAGGACAGACATACCTTGTACATTTTGCTAACTAGTACATAGGAATTAAAACAGAAGGAATTCCGGAGCTCCTCTGTTGGCTTCAAATAATGAAACAAGAAGTTAGCTAGAAAGAGTTCTCTCCAGCATGTAAAGAAACATATTTATTAAGCTCACCCATCTCATATCTTATCTAACCTCATCTTCTGTAGCCCAAGAGATTTCATCAAACAGAGCATCATAAAGAGGTGGCAAAAGCTGGGGTGGAAGATTAACAACTCGCCGAGAGACCAAAAGACCCACATTATGTGCTTGTTCTCCCAAAAGAACTCTCAGATCTCCTTTTATGCTTTTCTCCAGGCATAGTCTGAGCAGGTACTCCTTGAGATCTGCAATACATTTATGATCCTGTAAGAGCAAGACATTCCTTAGCCAGTGCAGTCGAAATGTAACAGATTTGAAGGGATGTTAATTGTTGGCTAATAAACAGGCAACAACCACCTAAAACACTATTTACACCAGAGTGGGCAACATTAACAAAATCGGTAAGAAGGTAATTTCACACAAACCTATGCCTGTTGGGTTTCAAATTAAGATGAATCAACGTTGTAGCAAAGCATTGGCCATAGTAGGATTCAGGTTTACCCGATGTTGTAGCTAAGCATTGGCCATAGTAGGATTCAGGTTTAGGGATCTTTACAAAAAAGAAGAGGCATGATGCCTCATATCTCACTAAATAATGAGAGCAAACTTCCCATAATGATATACTACATTTTAATTGACATGACATTAGCCATTGACATTGTGTGCAGGATAAACAAAGGTGCAAGCTACTTACCTTATATCTCCCCAAGTTGAGGGCAGAAACAACAGAGAAAAGTCCATTATCTTCATCATCCTCAATTTTAACAACCGTCCCTACTGTGGTCTGTTCCAATATCAAGTCTACAAAACCACTCAAATCCCATTCCGTATTATCAAGGTAGGATTGCAGCAAGATCTTCACTCCATGAAAGTCGTCAGGTTTTGGATCAAAGAATGCAAAGTCTGCTTGGACCTCTCCCTTCAAAAGATACACATCGAACCACATTAAGATAATAAAAAAAGCCAAACTAACACAAAAGAAGGCAGCATCACCAAAATAAATAACAAACCCCAAACTCTTCTTCCTCAGAAGACTCAGACTGCTCAATCTTTTCTTTTGAAGTCTTCTTAACCACTGCACCACCTTGATACAATGTCAAGCTAATCGAATCAGGAACACCAAGTTTAATACATTTCAAATTACAGTAGAACGATGTTCCAAAGAGATAATACCTTCATTGTGGGAGGGAGACCCAGGGACTTTACTGCCAAGCATTTGATGCTTTGGCATGAATGTAGAATGAAGATGAGCAAGTGAACGCGAAAACGGAGCAAAGGTCAAGGGCCTCGCTATCAATGATCTACGACGCCTTGTTGGCTTTCTTGGCATTGTTACCTAAAACTAAACAAAAAATAATCTGAAAGCCATTAAGATTAAGATTAAAATTAGATTAGAAATTACCAAAACAACATAAATAAAACAATTCAACAACAATGAGAAAACAGAGTACTAAGCTAGAGCTATCTGCTATAAGTTCCATGAAAACAGACAAAATAGCAACAACCCAACAAACAATGTTCTTATTTCATGCCAATTGAATTAACAACTCAGACACACAAATAATAGATGAAATCTTTGCAAGTTAAGTCCTAACCCATACTGTCAAATCCTTCTCTAACAAAATAACAAGATTTGCGTAACTAACCTTATCAAAGACAAGTTTGTCAAGAGACAGGACGTTACAATATGCTAAAGCTTCAATCTTTATTGAGTATTATACTTAGGGTTTATGAGAGGTTCTCTTGTCTTCTCTCTCTCAAAGTTTTAATCTTTATTTTGTTTACTTTATCGGGCCAGAGACAGGATGGTTACTTGGGCTCAGCTGCTGACAAGAAAACAATTAGGGGCTAAGACTATATTTGCACCCCTGATTTATCCCTAATCAGTCACTTTAGCCCTTACATATAATTTGGTCAACGAAACACTGTTTTTTTTAGTTGCAGTTATCTACTTCGACACACAACTTCTAACCAATTGTTTATCAGGTATCATGGGGAAGAAATCTCTGTATCCAAATGGGGCCACATGAAGTTATAATTTTTCCTTTTACTTTTCATATTATAACTTTAAGCAAAAAATCTTACTTGACATAAAAATTGCACCTCAATTCAGTTAATAGAATAATTGGATAAAAGCAGAAAGATTGATAGAGCTCAATTGATTGCCACAGAAAAGGGATCGGGTTTTCAGCTGACTAAATTATTATACAGGGACTAAATCGAGAAATCGAATATAAAACAAGGACAGCATATGAGACTTTGAAAACCCATCATAGGCTTCTGCCCAAAAAGTTTCAGAAGATGTCTGCCAGCGAAAAAAAAGGGATAAAACTTTGATGAGTGGCTGGTGAAGTAAAACTGTAGACCTAGAACAACAGAAGAAAGAATGGCAACATCAGCTCTCAGTCTCACTAATCAGTTATGTCGCTTCTCTTCTGAAGTACACTTCTTGTTCATAAACAAGAATTTCTCAACACCAAAATCAACAAGATTAATTAGTCATGTGTGGTCTTACTCTAAAACTACCAGGATTCCAGCTTTACACTCAGGTATTTAGTTCTTTGCCTTAACCTTTTTTTCCCCTCAAAGTGTGTGTTTCTATGTTCCTTTGAGAGAATTGAAAGTTGATAAATTATGGTTTTTTTTTTTTTTTTTGTTGTTGAAGCTAATGGTTATATAAAGGAGGCTATTGAAGAGGGGGAGGGTATGGTTGATAGTGATAAAGTAAGGGTGTTAAAGCAGAAAATAGAGGTTCTTGGGATTAAATGTGATGATTCTTGCTTTCCTGGACAGTACTATCACTTGCTTTGTCCCAGGGTGAGATGAAACCACTTTTTAAATTTTTTATGTGGTACATAGTCTTGCTTTGTAGTGTATTGCTATGACCATAAACATGATATTTATGTTTGTGTAGACATGGATATTGGATACCATGATTGTTTGAAACAAAATTATTGCTTTTTTGTAACTTTTTTTTTTGATATTTTGAGTGGTTAATTTTTTGTACAGTGCAAAGGTGGCAAGACCATGGAGAGGAGCTTATCATTTAATATCACCCAAGATGTGTAAGCTGCTGCTTGTACTTTCTAGTATAGTTGGAAATGCATTGCATTGGAAACATTTAAAGGATTTTGATAATGGGTGTTGTAGGGATGTTGCAATGTGGAGATGTTTCGGGACTGGTTGTGGATGGACAGGCCAGGTGAAGATGCAATGTGAAAATTCATTCGAATTTTAGGGTAATTGGAAGTGGGAGATTCTTAAGCCATTCTCAAATTTTTATTGTAGGCCTTTGCTGATAGCAGGATGCCAATCGCTGGAATGAACAAAATTTTTAAAGTTAAGTCCTCCAAGCAAGTAACCCCAGAGAACGTAGTTTTGGAACCATTGGGTGACAAGGTATACTGATTATTATTCACAGAATATTCTAGTGTAGTTTTTAAATTTTCTAGCCAAGTCTTATTGAATTGACTGGTGGAATGTTATTTATGTTGGTTATAATTTTTTTTTTTACCAGCTGATCGCATACTTTAGTGAAAGAATGATTTCTGAGGAAACTCTGCGGAGAAATGCTGTTATGCAGATGTCCGGTGATAAGGTCCCTAAAGTGTATCATTTGGAGCATTGCACTACTTACCATTTTTACTTTAACGTTTCACCATGAGATAAAAACTTTTCAATGTATGCTTTAATTTGCTGGAAGAAACGTAGTTAAGAGAAGAGAAAATGGCTTAGGATTAATGCTCATATGGTAAATGTGAAGATACCCCTCATCATTTTCTAAACTTACTTTTTAATCCTTTGGGGCAGTTATGCCCTTAATAATTGTCCAAGAAATTTGATTGGGACTATTAGCCTAGTATTTGCAATCGTTTACTTGAGGGAATAAGTGAGACAACTGTGACCTAAGCCTTTGCTCAATTGAGTAGCCAAATTGCTCGTATGATTCTGGATTGAGTAGGCAACAATATAGGTTTTCTAGGCTATGTTCCCTTTCTCTAATTTTGTGATGTTATTTCTAGCTTCAACTCTTATTCTGGTTCTCAAACATGAAGTGATAAATTTGGATTCAGCTATCCAGGATAATTCAAAAGGCAAAACAAGTTCTTTGATCTTCCTGTTTGTGCAATGCATTCCTTGCTCTAGAACATATGTTAGGTTAAGGCAGGAACTAAAGTAAAGGCCATTTCTAGCCGCATTTTGTACTTCTACCACCAAAGACAAGGGTGAAGGACTGAAACTAGGATTAACGATGGCTGTTTTATGTAAAAGAGGGAAGAATGATGAGATCATATCTTTAACATTTTTATTTGATGTTCAGCTTAATGATCTGTCTCAAGAACTTCCAACTCTAAGAATGTGATTGCTTCTAATTACTGTTGGTTGCAGTATGTTATTGCTTTTACATACAGACAAAATGGGGCGATTGTTGGTTGCAAATACCGAACCATGGAGAAAAGGTTTTGGCAGGTAAATATGCTAAGCTTATCCTGCATTTTAAAATTGACATGCAGTGGTGATGTTTTGGCAAGCTCAAGATGGGGTTGATGTTTGAGATATTATTAAAATAAACCCTAGATTTATTCTGTTTTTGTTTTTTTGACTTATCATATTTGTGTAACTCCTTTTCAGGAGAAGGACACAAGAAAATGGTTATATGGACTAGATGACATAAATGAAGCCACCGAAATTATTATTGTAAATGCTTTCACCTTATTTGCCCTCTTCTAACTGGATATTGAAACTTCTCTCTGTCCTGATTGTTATTACTTTGGTTGTCTAAGGTTGAAGGGGAAATAGATAAGCTTTCAGTGGAGGAAGCTGGATTCCGTAATTGTGTTAGTGTTCCTGGTGGCGCACCACAAATAGTTTCTGCAAAAGATTTACCATCCATACAGAAGGTTTGAATTGAGACTGATAAATTTCATCGGCATGTTTTTGTTTTAAGATTTAACTATATGTTCTTTCTTTCTTTCTTCAAGGTGAAACAACTGTATTTCTTCCTACTGAACTGAGAATCTAATTAGGCCATAAAGCTTACTGTTTTTTCTTCAAAATGTATCTCTTATTTATTGCTAAGTACACAATATTCTCTCTTTCCAGCTTGTACATTTTACATTATGGTTCTTGTGCTATCTTACCTTTTCTCACAGATTTTGATGTCTATTCTATCATTAATTTACTTTAGTTTGTTTTGTGTATCAATGCATGTGTGAAGCTAGGACAGAGCGTATCAGTATCTATGGAACAGCAAAGAGTACTTGGATAAAGTAAGCATCTTTGGGCAGAACATGAGTTGGACATGAAGTGATCCTTCAGACTTTCTTCCTGTGTTAATTTCTTAATTACTCTGTTCTTTTTACATATAAACCTCTTAGCTATCTCGCATTGTCCTGGCAACTGATGGCGACACAAGTGGGCGATCGTTGGCTGAAGAGCTAGCACGCCGGCTGGGAAAAGAAAGGTGATAACTATCCCATGATGAAACCTGAATGATATGGTCAGAAATTATCTTTTACACAGGAATAGGGTCAGTTTGGTGAAACTATTAGATTTATGCTGGTTGATCAGGTGACAAGGCTTATTATGTTTTATTAGCTCAAGTGGGGGTATTTCTGAAACTTGTATATGCTACCATATAAAGAGCACATACAATAGATATGCAATAAGCAGTTCAGATTTTGAGAGCCATCTAGGTTTCCTAGGTTTTACTGGTTTCTTCTTTATATCTCTTATTTTGTCTTACTGAGAAGGGTTTCATTTTCTTTTATAGCTAGCTTTTCGTCTGTTCTTTTTGTTTCATCATTGGAGCTCCATACTTTTATTTTATGTAGCACACATGGGTTGTGATCTGTAATGGAAAAGGAATAGTTAGCTAAATAGAACCTGTGTAACACATTATGAGTCTGTACCTTTGAAATTATACTGCGATGTCCTGCCATGTCACACAACGAAGCAGTTTGATCTTGCCACCAAAATAGGCTTTACTTCAAACTCATTCCTGTTATGCCTTTCTTTTTCCTGGACTTCACCAGATGTTGGTTGGTACGTTGGCCGAAGAAAGATGACTCACGGTGCTTCAAAGATGCAAATGAGGTTTGTGCATTTTCATTATATGCTCTGGAAAGTTCATTTGGTTTTGAAATTTAGGTTATGTTAAAAAAAGATCATAGACAACCATTTCGACTTTTTGTGGTAAAAGGATGCTAGGGCTAATGTTCAAATGATGATAAACAAGACAAAACTCTCAATCCTTGGGAGCAGAGATTAAGCCTGAGGGCTGAGAACTATGCCTGCTGATGATGCTACTATCATCTATAAAACTTGGATCTTTCTATGCTTTTTAACCATTTATAGCAGAGATGATAGTATTGGTAATGTAACTGTAAACATATTAATTATGTCCTTGTGATGTTGCAGAATAAACTGAATATTAGCATCTGCATGTTGTCTTTGTTCTGTTGATGGTTACAGGTTCTGAAGTGTTTGGGACCAGCTGCATTGAAGGAAGTAATTCAAACTGCAGAAAAATATGAGGCTTGTCGGCTACATCGTCTGAATTAGGTAACTTCAGGATTATATTTAGATTGAAAACAAAATTTCTTTATGATATTTGCACAATTTGTACCACAAACATGCAAAGTTCAAGTACATATTTTGTTTCGTAACTTTTAGTTGAGATTTCTCATTTTGTTGCAATTCGTAGATTGATGATGCCACAACATTTCTGGTGTATAGTAATACACTAACGCTCAAGATACTGATCTTTCATGTCTAAGACTGACATGTGGTGGTTATTTTTATTGAAATTTCTGACAGATTGGAAATGGTTGAGGATCAAGGACAAATAGTTTCAAATCTTAAAGTTGGTGTTCTCCAAAGCCTACCCGCCGAAGAAAACCATCTGCAGACAAGAAGACAGAATCCCTTTGCACAATTTCTTCTTCTTTACTTGGAAAGTGCACTTTTCTTTGCACCAGCACAGAATGTTATGCTACGAGTCCTGAAGCTGTGTTTGGTGCTAAACACCAGGAAGAAGAAAGCCCTGAGGCATCATGATGCAGATACAAGGTCACCTGTGATGAGATGCCACATGTGGAAATTTATATGTAACATGAAGATTTTCACTCTAACTAGATCTGGTTTAGCTGCTGGCAGTGTGGTTGAGTTCCACTTTGGAGAGCATGTCCTTTTGGGGTTTGCATGTATTTTCTCTTGAAGACAAAATTGATAAAACCAATTAGATATTTGACAAAAAAAACTCCTTTTGTTTCCCATTTCATAATTAATATTCCAATGTACAAGACTTTTTTTGTTTAAGTGTTAATGTGTGGTTACTATCTGAAGAAATTCTCGAGATAAATTTGTTTTATGTATCTTTTTATTTTAATTAAATATATTCTTGTTCTTCTATGTTCGTCTATTTTGTTTTAGAATTCTGATCAATCTTTTATTGTATAGATTAAAGTCTTTGAGATTCACCATTTAGTTTGATTAAAATGCGCATGCTATCTTCCTCAATATGATTTATCTGCAGCCTCAACGCTTCAACTTAATTAATGGTCTCTTAATTTTGCACTTTTTTGTCAATTAGGTCCCTTGCTAATGACCCATTAGTCCAGTAGTTAAGAATTCCAATTAGTCCCTCAACTTTGAATTTTGGATTTGATTGCTCTCAAACTATGTTTTATTTGAAATTAGCTCCTTCCACTAGTTTTTGTAGACCAACACGTAAACACTTTCAAAATTATATTTTACATTTTAATTATAATTTCCTCTTTTTATATATATTTTTCATTGAGAAAAATAGTTTTTTAACATAAAAAATTATGGATAAATATTAAATTGAGTTAATTGAAAACAAAAACTATATTAAAAAAATAGAAAAAGATTGGGAAAGAGAAGGGTGTTAATGAGATTGTTTTAAAATACAAGTGGCAAAAGAGCCAACAAAGAAATGAAAAGAAAAGGAAAGCAATCTGGTTAGTTATTCGGGCGGGTTTCAACCTGAAAGAGAATTAAGTATGTATTTGTTTTTTTATTCAAAAAAATGCTTCGGAAAATCTTAATTTTTTTATATGTTTAATTTATTTTGATATGTTAATATGAAAAATAATTTTTAAATTTTTTTAATATATATTTCAAACATAAATTATTTTTAAGAAATAATAATTATACAATCCTAAGTAGCTAACAAATAGAATTAATCATTTTCAATCAAATCTGCTTAGACTGACAGCCACATAAAGTTTCATTTATTAATTTTTTTAAATTAATTAATCATTTTCTTTTATTTTGAAAAATAATAATATTAAATCTGCTTAGTATTAATTCAGTAACTTGTTCAACCAAACCGCATCAAAATGATTAGGTCAAAACTCATTTTCATTTTTTTTTTAAATTAATGTTCTTTTTATATTAAAATAATGTTGTTTTTGAACCGGGTTAGCGGGTTTAATAACTTTATTAAAAAGGTGAAGTGTAAAAGATAAAATAAAAATAAAATAAAACAGGTAAGACAACGACAGACAGAACCCGGAAACCCTTAAACCCTGTTTTCAGCCCTTTCCCTCCTCTATCTTCCACTCTCACCCATGGAAGAACAGCCCTTGCTGAAACACCTACAACAAGAACCATAGAGAATCCAAAAGAGAGAGAGAGAAAAAGATGCTTGCTTTTGCCATTCACAAACCTCACGTCAATTTGAACAAAAAGCTTGCTTTTTTATCTTCTTTTCACTACTACATGGGCTCTAAATTCTTGCTTAAACCCACCACTAGTACTTTTCCTACTCCTTTGCCTCTGTTACCTTCTTCAAATAAACAACAATATCGTACCTTTAAAAGATTGTCACCTGTTTTTTGTTCTTCAAAACCCACCTCTAAGTTTAGCCGTTCTTTGCTTACTCAAACTAATGGCCTCCCTTTTTCTCCTCTTTCTGCCCCAGGTATTTATCTTATGCATTTTCGTGTTTTTTGAGATGGGTTTTTGTTTCTGTTACGTGGGGTTCTTGGCTTTTGTTGGATAAGGCTGAAAGTTTTGTTTTGTTTTTTTTAGAAAGGTTAGTGTATATGAATTTGTATGTTCATGTGAAGATAAATGCGTGTTTTAGAGGGTTGATGTGGTATTTTTGTGTGTTTTTTGGTCTGGTTTTCAGTTTATGGTTTGGACCCAGAAGTGAAGAAATCAAAGTTGGAGATTTTAAGGTTTAAATTAGCAGAGGTGGGGATTGAACTAGATCACTTTGCTCCTGGACAGTACAATGCCTTAACTTGTCCAATGGTAAAGATCTTTGCGTGTTACTTATTGTTGCAATGTTAAAGTTTCGCTTTGTCAAGGAGTTGTCTATAAGATTTGACTGTGTGCTTATCATGCGAAAGCAAATTTTAAAATTAGATATTGACAATTGATATTAGAAAAGAACCAAGTAGTAAAAGATTTGATGAGATTTATTTTGCTCGAAATTGATATAAGTAGTTAATGCAGTCACATTAGCTGATTGCTTCAGCTTGCGAAAGATATTTTTTTGTTTTGAAACAAAGGAACATTAATAAAATGTTTGAGCTTTGAAATAAATTTTCTTTGCAAAAAAATTTGGACATGGGAATGATCTGCTAAATTTGGTGTAAAGTCTCAGTTTCTGTGCTATCAGGTATTCCTTTTATTAAGTTTGATTGCAATGTTTAGAAATTGTACTTATTTGTGGTTGCTGTTTTTTGTGTTAGTGCAAAGGCGGTGGTTCAAAAGAGAAATCCTTTTCTCTTTTCATCAGTGCGGATGGGTATGCTCTTGCACTTTTCGTGAATCATTTTTATATGTGGTGATTATAAAATTGTCAACTTGGGGCATCTTTGATTTCTAGGGGAAATGCATCCTGGAATTGCTTTCGAGCAAAATGTGGGTGGAATGGTGGAACAAAAGTAAGAATTTCTTGTCTGTGTTGCATGTAAAACTATTTGGTCATATAGCAGTGAAAATCATTTGCCTGAAAACTCCTCCTTTGGCTGCAGCCCTTTGCAGGTAGCAAGTCTACATATGGAACCTCACTCAAACTTTCCAAAGTTAAGGAGATAAGAGAAATCACAGAGCAGAGTCTGGAATTGGAACCGTTATGCGACGAGGTTGTTGCGTTATCTTTTTACCTTTGTGTTTTAATACTAATCTTGTTTTCTATTATGCTGATTTGGGTGATGGTTAGTCCACTTGTAAAGGTGCTGGCCAGTTCAGTCTCTTGATGTGCCTGTGGTCGAGATAGTTGTCCGCATTTGGGAGCACTTCCTTCATATTGATTTTCAGGAACATCTCCAGGAAATGTTTTTAGCATAACTAATTTTCACTGGGATGGGAAATGAGAGACAGTTTAGCTACATTCTTCACGTTCTCAACCAATCTATTTGCCTTTTTCTTATTGCAATGCAAGGCATATAACTATTTTTGGCATTGTTTCAGCTTGTTTGTTATTTCAAGGAGCGGTTAATATCAGCAGAGACGCTGGCGAGAAATCAAGTTATGCAGAAAGGTTATGGCGACCGTGGCCAGGTTCACAACACTACTGAAACAACAAGAATACTTCTTATGTTTAATCATTAATTGTAGTGTGAAGATTCCTATGAACCTTTAATAGTTGTAAATTCAAATGAACCATAATCATGGATAAACTAAATGGAATTTTGGGTGAATTTATCTTCTTTTTTTTATATACATAAAATGCAAAAATTTTGCTACTTTCACCTTTATAAATGGAAACAAAGTTATATCTCCCTTTTATGATCAGTACAAGAAGAGATTTTAAAGTTGTTCCTTGGTTCATATGTGTAAGGAGAAGAAGGGGTGGGGGGTATTTTCTGTTGCCTATTTCAAATATTGATTAATTTGTTTGGATAATATGTTCTTGTCATTTCAGTTTAAATGTGAACTGCTTCTGCCCCTTCTAATAATTCTAGACATTTCATTGGCAGGTTGCTATTGCTTTCACTTATCGACGGAATGGAGTGCTTGTAAGCTGCAAGTATCGGGACATCAACAAGAGATTTTGGCAGGTTCTTGTCATAAATGTTACTTTTTCTATATAAAAAAATGCCTAGGCTTGTATTATTGAACTTCTATATTTAGTTCCGATCAATCATTACCATCATTTTAAAATCTTAAGACCTTGTATTTTGAATCTCCATTGGATGAATTCCTACCGGGAAATCTCTCTTGAATGATTACTAGAGGGATCATTGAACTTTCCTTGATTGGTGTCAAACACCTCAGAGACTAGTAATTTGCGTGCATCACTGATGAGGGAGACTTTTTGTGAGAACTTCATGATTTATGTTTTTCTTCATTTTAAGATTTGCTTCCTCTATGTTTGTGCTTGAACTTTTTTTTATCCTTATTTAAACTTGAACTTCATGTTTTACTGCTTGGGTTGTTTCATTCAGCCTTTCAGTAAATTCTTATGATGGTATCCTTGTCACATTCAATCTCTCAAAGGAATTTTTTAGTAGTGCTTATTTGATCCTTTACTAATTTGCATTTATTTCAGGTGAAAGGCACAAGGAGTATTTATTTGATATTTAATTTGAAGTAATGTGTTTCTAATCCATTACTATTCTGCTTTTATTTCAGGAAAAGGATACAGAAAAAGTATTTTACGGGCTAGATGATATAAAGGGAGCAGATGAAATCATCATTGTATTGTGTCTGCCTTTCAATTTGTGAGAAATTCCTTAGTTACCTCTCATGATGCTTATCAATTTATTCTGATTGTAGGTTGAAGGTGAAATGGACAAGCTTGCAATGGAAGAAGCTGGATTTCGGAATTGTGTGAGTGTCCCTGATGGTGCACCTCCATCAGTTTCTCCAAAGGAATTACCACCTAACCAGGAGGTCTGTGTCAACACTTTAAAATTCAGATTTTTGTCTGCAATGTTTATTACTATTTATTATTTGATGCAGTCAATGATAGAGAAGTTGAGAAATTATAGTTATTTAATCCGTGATTATGTTTATTTTGATAATTCCGGTAAAACTAGTCTATATTTAGGTATTTCTCTTAGGATTTTTAGTGCTATTTAGAAATCTTAGTTTATTTAGAAACTAGAATATTAGTTAGGAGTTTGTAATTATGTTTTCCTATTAGTTTAGGACTATATTTGGTGTTTATATATTCTATGCAGTGGGAGAACTTTGAATAATTGAATTATGAGTATTTGGTGTTTATATATTCTATGCAGTGGGAGGACTTTGAATAATTGAATTATGAGTATTTGATATAGTTTAAGGGTTGTTGCCCTTTTTTTTTCCTTGCTCTCTTTTCTTCTTCCTCCTGAAGTATTTTTGATTGCTACAGTAATCCCAGATTACCATTCACATTACGGTTAAAATCCCAATTCCACATCCTCAATCAATCCCAATTCTGCATACATGCAACTTAAACCCTGATTCATCTCTTAACTATCTCTCTAATTCTATCAACAAATCCTCCATAAGACACTAATCCAAATTTGTCTGACATCATTATTGAATCTAGTCATGTCCATTGGAAAACAAAATGGAGGAAAAGGATCCATGCATGTGACCCCATAAGGCTTATTTATGTAGGGAGAAATAGCATTAGTGTGAAAACACTTCTACACATAGACTGAATGCAATCCTCACCTTTGTGATTAAAAATCATTTGAATGCTAATTGCTATTTTTTTTTCTGTTCTTCTGTAACCTTATTAATAAAGTACTGTTAATTTCTCAAACGAGCATTCAGAGACCTTGCCAAATTAAACCAGTATTCTCATTGTCCATGTTAATAATATTTGGTTCCTTTTGTACTGGAAATCTATCTGATTCCCACTTATATGCATCTGTGAAGCTAGGACACAAAATATCAGTATCTCTGGAATTGCAAAGAGTACTTGGATAAGGTTGGTAAAAATAACTTGTACTGCTAGTGAGTGCTACCCATCAATTTAAAGATGCAAGTTTTGACTTGTACTTCTGTAGGTATCTCGCATAATACTTGCCACTGATGGAGATCCACCGGGTCAAGCATTGGCTGAAGAGCTGGCACGCCGCCTTGGAAGGGAAAGGTGCATAGCTTGTCTGCTGATAATACTGTTTCCTTCGTTACATGAGAATGATTTTCGCAAATTTGTTTAGAAAAACCATCATTCTTCTTTTTTTTTGGTGGATGCAGATGCTGGCGAGTCAAATGGCCAAAGAAAAATACAGACGAACATTTCAAGGATGCAAATGAGGTCAGAAATGAATAGCTCATATACATGCCATGACTATGTTTAAAGTACAAGTTGATTTTGTTTTCCCTTGTTCTAATGTTTTTCAGTGATAAACTGGTGCATCATTTGGCAAATGATGATTCATATGGCTCTGATTCAACAAAATGGAAACTGAGTTCATATGCTATATGCTATTTTTCCTTCCCTCTGAACCATTTATTCTGGAATAATTTATGATTTAGTTTATTAACATCAAACCATGTTGTTGGTCGAATGCATTTCATCAATTTTTATAGATAATTGTCCTTTATTAGATGAATCCACAGAGAATGATTTTTGAAAGGCTCATGAAGCTTACTTACATTGGACATTTCCTTCTTGATAGTTAACAACACTGGTAGAAAATATCTTCAGGTTCTCATGTTTTCGGGGCCACTTGCACTGAGGGATATAATTGAAAATGCTGAGCTGTACCCTATACGTGGATTGTTCCACTTTAGCGATTACTTCCCTGAGATTGATGCGTATTATAATCGTACTCTTGGGTATGAATTTGGTGCCTCAACTGGGTGGACAGCTCTAAATGAAATATATAATGTAAGTCCTGATATTTCTTTCTTTCCTTCTGCTTTAAACCTGCATTTTTTATCTTTCATCATGGGGTATTTATTTAATTTCAGGTAATGAAATATTATGTTGCATGAGAATTTCCTTTGAAAAACTGTATTTGTAGAAAAATGTTATGGTTTTCAAAATATGAAATTGTATTTATCACCTGAATAAATTGATAATCTAATCAGATGCTTTCAATAATACGTCTGGAGATAGCTGATCCAGCTTTCCTAATTCTAAATCAATAGAAAAATAGAAGAAGAATCAAAGGAAAATATTGAAATGAGGGAATGGATTGCAAAGAAGGGAAGGGGGTAAGGTGGGAGGGAGCTGAACTTCTGTAATCTGTGGCTTTGAAAGGAGTTTTTGTCTGATATTCAGTAGGGTGGAAATATTCATGTTGTCTTAATTTTCTTCTCCATTTCTTTATATAGAAGGATTTCTTATTATTTCAGTTATAATCATTCGATCTCTTTTTTGAATATTTAAATTAAAATCTTCTTTATGAAGAGAAGAATGTGAACTCAGAAAAGTAACTGATAAACAGGTGTTTCTCTTATCATCTCTTGGAAGGGGGGTAACACTGCTGTTATATTCTTTTAAATTACTACGTATCAGTAAATTAGAGAAATCTGTGTATGTGAATGTTAGGGAGAGGGACAGTAAGAGAGATCATGTTAGGGAGAGGGACAGTGAGAGAGAGCAAGAGGAAGTTAATCTTTTGTTCTTTTAAATTAAAAAGATATGCAGTGAGAGAACTGGATTTCCAGGGTTTTGAATGGAGTGATATTCAGTGTGGTTGGAAATTCATATCGTCTTAATTTTCTTCTCCATTTCTCTGTATAGAAGGATGCCATATTCTCCCAGCTGCAAGGATTCATGCTTTTTTCATTAATATTATAATCTTCTTAACACAGAGGGAAAGAAGGGCATTGAGAAGTAACTAATAAACATGGTGTTTTTATCATCTCTGGGAAGGGAGTTAATGTTGAAGCTAAACTCTTTAAATTACTAGTAAATTACATATATGTGTCTCTGAATAATGGCAGACAGACTGGTTTTAATTGCATGTATTTTGATTAGGTTATGCCAGGAGAGTTGACTTTGGTAACTGGGGTTCCCAATTCAGGCAAGAGTGAGTGGATCGATGCTCTATTATGCAATCTTAATGAAAGTGTTGGATGGAAATTCGCACTTTGCTCCATGGAGAACAATGTAAGCTAGTTCCTTTCTGTTTGTGTTTTGACATGCACAATCTTGATGTTAGTGATGGTTATCACCCTTCCTTGTGCATGCTCAATTAAACATGGATTAATTGTGATGAAACTGAAATAGCAGTCTCTGGATACAGTTTAGATGCATTTAGCGCACAGGATTTGGGTTTTGTAGAATCAAGCCATGCAAGTTGTCATATTCATTGATTGAGCAACATGGTTTTAGAAATGTAGTTAACTTCACATATTTTAAAATTCTTAATCATATTCATGTGAGTGTTCTTCACATGCAAAAAGGCTTTGTTTAATATATTTTTTTCATCCTTTATCAATATTATGTTTATTATGTATGTTCTTTTTACTAATTTTTTTCTCAACTGGTTGTCTTTTTTTCTTTGCTATAGGTTCGGCAACATGCTAGGAAACTGTTGGAGAAACACATGAAGAAGCCCTTTTTTGATGCACGGTCAGTATGGTCTATTTCTCCATCATTGCTCTATGATGTCCTTGAAATCTTTTCTTGAAAATGTACTCTTTCAACTTCCTATATTGTAATTCTTGACAGGTAATACAGCAATTGAAATCTTTTCTTGAAGATGTACTCTAAAACTCTTACCTTTCTAATTGTAGATCAATTGATTCTTATCTATAATAATATGTAATATTTGCTTTAAATTGCCAGATTAGTTGTGATAATTCATTTGGTTTTTTGTCACTTGTGCTGATTTCCTTTCTACTTTTTATCTCACATGAATTCTTTTAACTTTATCGTTTGATTTCTTTGCTAACCATAGTTATGGAGAATCTGCTGAACGAATGAGTGCTGAGGAGTTAGAAGAAGGGAAGCAGTGGTTGAGTGATACTTTTTATCTCATAAGGTAAGCTACACTTTATAGTTTGTTCAGGTGATATAAGTACATCTAGTTATTATAATTTTGACTTGGAGTGACAACCTGTTTCATGTTTCCTTTCTAGTTAATCTGGACTTTTTTTATTTCTGCTTGTTGATTTTTCAATGATTCTCATGCATTTGTAAGTCAAGTCTATCCTGAAATAGGGAAACTGACTATACTGATAGGAAGGTCCTCAGCTTCTATAGCTATAAATTTGTAGTTTTTTAGTTACAAGTTGCAGTACCTGATGTCTAAAAATGAAAAATTACATAGTGGTTACGTTGATGTCCAGAAATCTGCTGAGACCACAACCTGTCAGAGTTTATTTTCTAAAGCTATCTCAGTTCACAAGTGCTTTTTTTTTTTACTTTATTTTTTAGAAAAGACAGTACAGCCTTTTATTCTGGTTTATGAACTTTCATGTTTGGCATCGAACTTTTAAAATATTTTGACTACTTACTGTTCCCAAACCAAAGTAGGTTGATGAATAATTACATGTAGGGAATGGTTAATAAATATTCTATTTACTGGCTGTTGAACTTCTTTTGCACTTTCAAGAACAAATGCTTGAATGATCCCAGAACCTTAATTAATAATAACTTCTGGAAGAGTAATCCTCATTGTGAAGCCCCTGATGTTTCCAAACACTTGCTTTTGATCTAATTGTTGTCATTCTGATTAAGTTCATGATGTAACTTGTCGGCATTGCTTTTGATGTCTTGTTGTGTGGGCTTTTCCTGTGGTTCATGGAGTAGATGTGAGGACGATGCACTTCCAAATATAAAATGGGTTCTTGACCTTGCAAGAGCTGCAGTTCTCAGACATGGGGTCCGTGGACTAGTAATCGATCCTTACAATGAGCTCGATCATCAACGCCCTCCTAACATGTGAGATGTCCATCCCTATTGCTTGTAAATGTTGAGTTTGTGATGGGAACTAACACATGCTCTAAATTCTCTAGTTATTTGTTATTTCTTCATTCTTTATCTGCTAATGAGAGATTGCAGTGTAGAACTCATGGTTTTTGAATGATGAAAATTTGTTCATTTGCCTAGTTTCTTTTAATTTCAACTCTTCTCTTTTACATGTTAAATTGTTTTGTTAATGATAATAGCATCATTAAGCTAAAATATTCTGTCACCCTGTTTTTTTTTTTTTTTTCATTCATAAACCTTTGAATTGTTGGTTACTTTCTTTTCTTTTTATCAAAGCAGTACAAAAGGGTTTTACTATATCTCTCCTTCCAGTCTAGTAAATATGTATTATCATCACAATTCACTCTTGTTGTTTAGACTAATCCATCTCCCCTTGTTTCTTACTACTCATTTGTTTATGTTGAGTCTTATGAGTATAAGGCTAGTGTCAAGCACTAATCACTGAAATGTAAGACTGATTCAACTTTTGTTAAATTTGTACAGCAGCTTATGGAAAGGTGCTATTTCAGCTTTTCACAGATGTGTTCTTCCATATAGTTTATTTCACAGATGTATTAGAGGACAATAAACATTTTCTTGATTATCTATTTTGTCGTCTTAGCTTAATTGCTAATTGAAAATGCATCTTGTTTAGCAGAAACTAAATGCAGGAAACATAATCCCTCAAAATGTTCGAAGAAAACCATATTCTTTTTGTAGGATTTGTTTTTGAATTATAAATATGTGCCATAAATTTGTAATTCGATGCTTGATATGAAATTTGCTTATGACAGGACTGAGACTGAGTATGTTAGTCAGATGCTTACACTGATCAAAAGGTTTGCTCAACATCACGCTTGTCATGTTTGGTTAGTGGCACATCCAAGACAGGTTGGCATTTGTGATCTCAGGTTTTTTATGTCATCTTAAGGACCTCTGTTAGTTTGTACTAACTTGTGTTCTGTCTAACAGTTGCAAAATTGGACCGGCCAACCTCCTAATCTATATGATATCAGTGGCAGTGCACACTTTGTTAACAAATGCGACAACGGCATTGTCATTCATCGTAATAGGAATCCAAATGCTGGACCTATTGATCAAGTACAGGTGAGAACATTTGTATGGTCTCCTGCATATGCTTGTGTTTATATTTGCTAACTTTTCAACATCATTAGTAGACAATGGAATCTACATGATAATCTTGTATTGCACAAAGACACATGGCATACACTTTGTCTTCATTTCTTTCTCCCTTTAAACCAAAAAGTTTTCTTTTCATATACTTATCACCGTCATTATTCCTGGACACAAGTCTATTAATAAGTTTTATGTCCTGCAGGTTTTGGTCAGGAAGGTTAGAAATAAGGTAGCTGGAACCATAGGAGATGCCTTCCTGTCATATAACAGGTATGAGACTCAAAATTATTGTTATGGTGTCACATCACAACCTTAGCCTTAGCAATGATTACAAGTAACTTCTCTTGGCTACCGAAATTATTTTGGCTTGACCTGATTCTGTCAAATGCAACAGGTTTTAATCTGGTTTTTTAAAATTCCAATTCTAGCATAATATGTATGTATCATCACCATGGAATGTAAATAAACTAAGATTTTTGTTTCGGTAGAAAATAGTCCTATCTACATGGCAATAGCAGGGAAACTATTTGTGCGGTATTGGTTTCTTTCTTCCGTCAAAACTGAAGAAGATCTAACCATATTTAGGGTAACAAATAGTTCTGTTTTTGGTCTAGAGTGCAGTTTAATCTGATTGTTTTGTTGCTCATTTGTGTCCCCAGATGTCTTCCCTGATACGCACCATCTTCTCACTCTATTTCGTGTGCTTGTTTTCACCATGTTTAGATTTGGATGTTTTGTTTCCTTACATGAAACAAGTGTTGATGAATCTTTTGCGTGCACTTTGGCAGAGTAACTGGTGAATTCATGAATGTTGATAAATCAACTGGAAGCGACAATCAAGGCTTTAAACCACTTAGAAGATAGCCAATTATGTAACTAACATGAAGATAAAAAGACTTGTACATTTTTCACTTGTGAGTTAATATATACATCAATGTTATTTTTTGCATGATGATGTACTTTAATGATCTAATCTTGTAAACTAGGGCTTCATATATCAGGTTTTGATGCTTTGATTTAACAAGCCATGTCTTCACAGTTTTCTTTTCTTATTTCTTTATTCTGTAGTTTCTCTCAGTCTAAACATGTTGGTGTGCGTGTTTTTGTTCAAGTGCAGTATTTTAAGTGTGAATTTAATATTTAGTCTCTAAAATGGGGTTTATCTCACAGACCATTAATCCGGACTGGTCTGGCGGGCAGCAGTCTTGGACTCATCTAGGTTAAAGAAAATATAAGTCAAGGCATTGACCGGGTAAAAACCAGGGTTGACAAGTGACCTGAACTTCTATTCGTTTATTTTTTTGATTTTTTTTTTGTCTACAACAATATTATTTTGTTTTTTTTTTAATTTTAAATTTAAGGATTAATCTTAGTTGACTAAGTTTATCCTTGAACTTGTGATCATGCCTTCTCCTTGATTGATCTTGGATTGGTTTTATAACTATAAAACCACGAGAGATTAGAAAGAATGACAATTTTTAAACCATAAAAGGAATTTAGTTTTGCTAGAATACTAAAAGAGGAGTTATATATATATATATGTATATATATATGTATGTATGTATTCACACATTCTTCTCTGAGAAGAAGAAATAAACCGAAAACAGAACAAAAGAGGAACATCCTATTCACGTAAGACGCACAACTTTATTAAGAAGCACAATACTTGCGTTGTAGAGCAAAATATCATTCTGTAGACACTGTTTTATCAGAAACAATGTGATTCACCAAAAAATTGTTTGGTGTGGTCCATTGATCCCCTTACTTTTCTAATGTCAGCAATTTTGTGCGTGCAAGTTTTTCTTTCAACCACAAGGACAAAATACACCTCAACCTTGTTGCTTTTTGGTGACGTTTAGGTTATCATATTTGACGATGTCTGAAGCAAATTTGAAGAGATTATGAACCTTTTCATAGCTGCTCATTGGGGTTCGAAGGCTGAAGATGAAATGTTTGGTCGGTTGTCTGAAGTTTTATTTTGTTGTGTTATGTACGCCTCATTAAGCATTAAGAGAGTTGCATGAAAATTTTAAAGCTATAGCTTAGCTAATTAGCTTTTGAGTTTATTTCTATCACTAATTTAAGTGTTATAAATCTAAAGACTACTAAAAATTTATTTAATTGTTAATTTTAGAATCTCAAAATTAATTAATATATATATAAGCTAGACTAAATATCCACAATTAAAAAAATAGCTGCATGAAGCCTCCAGTATTTACAAAGTATTATTCGTTGAAGTAGCAAATCTACCACATGCTGCTGTGACTTGGCCACCTAACAAAGAGCAATGATTCCACAGAACAATGCCAAAAAGTGGTCAAAGTTTCTCTCCAATGTTATAGTGCCATGTGATCATCTGTTAGAGTGCAGACAGCCTGCCTTGCTGCAATGGAATGGGTCAAGGGAAAGCACATAACAACATGCTTTCCCATTAAATTTCATCAACCTTTTAAAAGGGGAGGTGGAGTGCTGCTACCATGACAATTTGTGACCACCTTTTTCTATTTTTTTTTCTTTTCTTGCCATTACAGTTGGCTAGCTAGCTGTCCCTTTAAAGAATAATAGTCCAACCATGCATGAAAATGTTCTTGATGGAAGGCAAAGGAGTCTAGAAATTTAAGGAGATTATTAACAAATTGGATTGAAGAAAACCTGCCAAATCAAGGACTATATGGTTAAAATTTCTTAGAAAATGGGGACATAAGAAATGCCAAAGAAAATGATTTACAAATATTTTGTCTTGGAGTACAAAACATGTTTTGTGTTATAGAAATATCATATTTTAAACCCAACTCAGAATTGATTCGAGATAAGTTTTGAATTATAGGTTAGATAAATTAACCTATTTTAACCCATGTAAACCTAATTCGGTAGTTTTAAAACGGTGCTTGAAGTGGCCGAGTTTTGGAAGATGGGTGGTGATACTTGTCAATACCCTTCAAAACAGGACGGCAGTGCACACAGATTTTCTGTGCCTCTGGCATGCTAAAAGTGTTCAAGCAATTGTTGATTATAGAAAACTTAACTCGATGAATTAAACAATTATAAGAAAACAACTGTCATGTTAATGACAATGATTAAATTTCTTATGTTGTCATGTTAACACAATGATTAAATTTAGCATCATTTCAAATGGCTTTACCGAATAAATCCAAGCTTTTGTTGCAATGTGGACCCAAAAGGATTCTTTCATGCCAGAATATTGCTGGCTTCCAGGGTAGCAAAACTCTAGGGAAAGAGAATACCTCAACGGCTCCCATGCGGTGGCTCCAGATAAGTGACCGTTTGTGGGGCCTTCCTTTAAACTCTTCCAAATTATATAACCGTTACCAAGCCCTCCACTTTTATCTCAGCAAAACAAAATAGACACTACAGCTCAAACTCAACCTAAATTTTTTGAGGAAATCTAAAATTAACTTTCAAGATTTGAGGTGGGTTTTCTTTCATTTTGTTGTTTATGCTGTTTCGTTTTTTAATGTTCAAAACTTTCTTATGTTGTCTTGTTGTTCTTTTTGATGTTTCAGCTTGGTGTTAGAAGGTGATTTGAAAGTTGAAACCATGACTGTTGAGGTTAAGGTTGAAGAAACTAAGGTGGCTGAGGTTGTTGTGGTTCCTCAAGAAGAACCCGAGAAGGTTGTTGTTGTTGAAGAGAGAAAGAATGATGTTAATGGAGATGTGGAGGTGAAGGAAGTGGATGCTGCTGATAATGTTGGGCCTAAAACAGTTCAAAAGAGTTCTTCTTATAAGGAAGAAAGCAATTTTCTTTCTGATCTTAAGGAGTTTGAGAGGAAGGCCTTGAGTGAGCTGAAATTGAAACTGGAAGAGGCAATTCTTGGAAACAGTTTGTTCAAGAAACAAGGGGCAAAGAAGAAGGAGAAGGAGGTGGAGAAGCCAGTGGAAGAAGAGAAAGAGAAGGAAAAAGAAACCAAGGAAGGAGAAGATAGTGGGGAACACGAAGGTGAAAAGAAAGAAGATGTGAAACCAGAAGGAGATAATGAGAAGGAAAAAGCAGTCCTGGAATGTGAAGAAGAGAAAACCGAGGTTGTTATTGAAGAAAAAAGTGAAGAAATTGACAGGGATATTTCCATTTGGGGAGTCCCTCTTTTTCCTAGCAAGGGATCAGAAGGAACTGATGTGGTCTTATTGAAGTTCTTAAGGGCTAGAGATTTCAAAGTTAACGATGCACTGGAGATGCTCAAGAAGACCCTTCAATGGAGGAAAGAATCCAACATTGATTCACTCTTGGATGAGGAAATAGGAGTGGATCTAAGCTCAGCATTCTACATGAATGGCATCGATCGCGAAGGCCACCCTGTGTGTTACAACATCTATGGGGTGTTTGAGAATGAGGAGCTTTATGCAAAGGCATTTGGAGATGAAGAGAAGCGCAAGCAGTTCTTGAGATGGAGATTTCAATTAATGGAGAAAGGTATTCAAAAGCTTGATTTGAGGCCTGGTGGTATTGCTTCTTTGCTTCAAATCAGTGATCTCAAGAAATCTCCTTCCCCATCAAAGAAAGAGCTCAGGACTGCCATGAGCAAAGCTGTCACCCTTTTGCAGGACAATTATCCAGAATTTGTTGCAAAAAATGTGAGTGCTCTAAATTTGATTGGCCAAAGTTGTTTCTTGTTTTGATGTTGATCTTTTTTTGATTCACCCATGGCGGTAGATTTGGAAAGAAATTACGTTGCCAACGCACATCATGGTAGATTTAGACAGAAATTAGAAGCCAATGTGACTTTGACTTGTATAGTCTTTGATTTTCTTCTATGTTTTTGAACATTGCAGATAGTCATAAATGTTCCATTTTGGTATTACGCTTTCAACGCCCTGCTATCTCCTTTCTTAGCTCAAAGAACCAAGAGCAAATTTGTCGTTTTTCGCCCTGCCAAGACCACCGAGACATTGCTCAAGTAAATAATCTACTTTTTTCCCCTTTCTTGAAATAAATATCGAACTGTTCATTAGAATCTGACAACTTGAATTTAATGGCAACTAAAGGTATGTTCAGGCCGAGGAAATCCCTGTTCAATATGGTGGCTTCAAGAGGGAGAATGATTTCGAGTTCTCCAGCGAAGATGGTGAAGTTTTAGAACTTGTAATCAAAGCTGGATCAACTGACACGATTGAGATCCCTGCAGCAGAGGTACTAATTAGCAATGATCCTTAATGATTCGTGTATACTGCCCTTTTTTCCTTCCGCGGAGATTTTTCCTGTATAATTGTTGACAGGAACGAAGGAACAGAATGCCTGACCAAAACTGGTGTTTGGTGACAGGTTGGAGCCACATTGCTTTGGGACCTGACAGTTGTGGGATGGGAAGTGAATTACAAGGAGGAATTTGTGCCAAGTGATGAGGCTTCCTACACCATCATCATCCAAAAGGGCAAGAAAATGAGCTCAAATGAAGAGCCAATTCGCAACACTTTCAGGAACAATGAACCTGGAAAGGTAGTTCTGACCATTCAGAATGGGTCAAGCAAGAAGAAGAGGGTCCTATACCGATACAAGACCAAGAAGACTGCTTCCTATTGAGAGAAGACTCCATTCTTTTATATTATCAATCTTTTATTTGCCGTCACAATTCTTTTCTAGATAGAAAACATTGATTCTTTTCAGGATTGATATCTGTATCTGATCGTGTGATTTGATTTGTTATTTCTGGGGTTCCTTTTTCAGTTTCTTCGTTAAAATTTTGTGAGAAAGAAAGATTATTTTGTGGAAAATGCAATAAATTAAGATTGATGACCATTTCCGTATCTTGATCCAGTTACCTTTTCTCCTTGCATGCATGTAGACAGAAATTAAAGCCTCTGTCCTAGAAGAAAACCAAGGCCTCTGGTTTCCATATGAAAAAACAAGAAGAAGAAAGTGCGTGCAGGCAAGTCAATATTCAGGCCATTGCTAACTGGAAAAAACATGGACAACTCACTTGTGATGGTGTCCATGGCCATAATGCGCAAATAGGATCTTGTCATGGCAATATTTCCAATACTTGAGCAACAAATCATGGCTTGAAGTTGTTAATTTTTCTATTATTAGCATGAATTTGATAGGGTTTTGCCAATTTTCTTAGGTTGATCATGTCATATGCTTGTTTCCTTTTAACTAGAAATTACTCTGATTACTTTGATGATGGTATTTCAACAAGTTATCTCTTACTATGTACGTATAAATATATATAAAAAGCATGAGCTCAAAAACAAGCACCATATATAAAGTATTAAATTGGAATTACTTTATAACGAACAACCCTGAATATAGTCTTACTTTGTTGTTGACTTTTTTAGATGAAAATATTTATACTTTTTTAAATTGAAATAATTATTTATGAGAAGTGATAGCTCTCTCTCTCTCTCTTAATTTTTTTTTTCTTTATAGATTGTAAGGTATTTTTATATAATGTAATAATTTATTTTTCAAGTTTTCTCCATGATTATCCTTTTCTTTTTAAAAATTCCAAAAATAGAATGACAAAAAATAATTGTAACTATCAAGAGCAGGTTGAGAAGGATTGCAGACATATGAAAGAACTAAACTTTGATTTTGGATAAAATTAAAAGCCATGTGTATCTCATAATATCCAAGATTGAAAAACAATATAGATTTAAGAACACATTAAATAATTATTAGATAAATTTACATAAAAATTAAGTCTGATGGTTGAATTAGAGTTTTAATAAGTCAATTGATTTAAATTATTGGCTCAAGTTTAAGAATTAATTTGGGCTAAGTTAAAAGAATTAATTAAGTGCAATGATTTAATTAAATTTTTAATAGGTTAAATTAATTTTATTAGGGATTTAATTGGTGAAAAATTAAGTTTGAAAACCTAATTTGAGTTTATTTGAAAAAATTAAAATTTTAGTGGATCAAATTTAATTTCTATAAAGTTAATTAGTTAAGATCAGGACACAATTGCAAGAAAAATAAAATTTTAGAATTAATTAAGGATTAAATTAAAAAAAAAATTAAGAACATTTATGCAAAACATGTGTGAATTTAAGGTTCAAATTTGGTTGCAAACAAGAGTGCAATTGAAAAAATTAAGAGTTTGAAGAATAATTAGAAATGAAAATGAAAATATCTAAGATGAATGATTAATATTAAAAAAAACATTAGGATATTTTTATAACTTGACAAAGGTAAAATTAAATTAATTTTTAAAATTAATTGTAATTCTGATTGAATAAATAAAAAATTAAGGATATTTGAAGAGAGTAGTTTTTAAGACCGTTTGGGTATATGACGCCAAGATAGTGTCAATTCATTTAAATTAAATGACATATTTTATATAAAACGACGTTGTTTTGTTATTAGATTGTCTTTAACCCCACGCTAGAGAGGATAGATGGGCTGCTGTTTTCTTTACCCTCTGCAAGATTTAGAACTCTGTCCTCTCTTCTTCACACAAGACAAACAAATACCCCTTGTACACCTTGTCACTTGTTCTCTTGCCTGGACAAAATGATAGCCATTTTACAGCACTGAACGCCCTGCCATATGGAGCCAAAAACCAACCCCCAAATCGATTTTCAAGCCAACTTTCCTTGTCCTAGAAACAACATCAAAGGAGGAGATGCAGGGGTGGCAGATCAACGGCTAAAAAAAGGGCACAGGAGAATCCTCCAAAAGCCTTTATAAAAAGGGGAAAAAAAAAACATCTAGGTGGTGACCAACTGGTAAAGACTTGGGATTAAGAGGTTTGCTCGCCCTGCCATATGGAGCCAAAAACCAACCCCCAAATCGATTTTCAAGCCAACTTTCCTTGTCCTGGAAACAACATCAAAGGAGGAGATGCAGGGGTGGCAGATCAACGGCTAAAAAAAGGGCACAGGAGAATCCTCCAAAAGCCTTTATAAAAAGGGGAAAAAAAAAAAGGAACGAAGGCAAAAAAAAAAAAAAAAAAAAAAAAAAAAAGGGGAAAAAAATGAACGAAGGCAAAAAAAAAAAAAAAACCAATACACCAGTTCCTTTCAAAAGAAAAAAGTTTTGATGCATATTTTGTAGTTTGAAGAATAAAAAAAAAATATTTAATAGATATCACAATGAATTTGTAATTACCCATTAAAATCTAGTCAAAATTTTCTTAAGACTTTAATAATTTTTTTGAGTTTTGATTTGATGAGATAAATATTTACTTATCGAAAAGAACTTTTCTTAAACTCTAGAAAGATTAGCGATTATAAATATGTTTTGGAAACAAACACAAAATAACTTATTATAAGTAGGGTATATTATAGGTAATATGTTTTTTCCTTGCACAACCAATCTCTTTACTCAAATTTTTCGTAGACCATTAGGTTTTCTAGTAACTATAATACTAAGTGACGACTTTTTTTTTTAATAGATAAAAGACAAGGATTATTTACCATTTTCACCCATTTATACTCCGATAACACATTGATTTAAAAGAATGATCGTTGTGATACCACACACATCTAACACATAACTTGATAAATTTACAAATATTCTTCCGATGATGAAATGTCCATGAAAGTCTAAAATACAATATGAAGGTTGTGGTGATGGATGAAACATACATGTAATACATGGAAATGTAGAAAAATAAGATAAGCATATCCGCATCCATTACTATCTATAACTTTACTACAATTCTAGGAATAAATATTATTGCTACCCGCTTTTGACCATACAAAAAAAAATTTAAAAAAGAAAAAATTAAAAAATATAAGAGGATATACATGAAGAAAGCATAGAAGATTGTCCAAGTTGATGGCGAAGGATCAAAATAACAAGTGGAAAAGTTGGAGGGCCAAAACTTATAAAATTGACAACTCAATTTTATTTGACAAAAGGTTCTATTTATGAAACCCTGATAATTTATAATTTAAATATACAGATTTGTAGACTTCTATGTAAACATAAGATTTATGTTGTATAACCCTTAGTACAACAAATACTTATCACTTTTATAACCCAATTGTATGGTATAACTGACACCTGTGCTGTGAAAAGAACTTGATTTGTTGTTAACGTAAGTTATAATCATGAATACCTGACAACATTTACAAGTATTAATATTATTCAAATAAGATAACTAATATAATTATATTAACAATTTATAATCTGATTGGAACCTCTTTTGTGTGTGGTTTCCAGTTGAGTAATAAAAGGAGTTTATACTATACTTATTTGAAATACCATTAGTAGATCCTCTAACCTTAACAATTATTTTGTCCTTGTTTAATCCTTATATTAATCTTACATCTCAAAGTCCTCTTCAATTTATCATCATCATCATTATCGTCATTATTATTATTTATAATACATATAGTTAACCTCCCTATTGTTCGACTTTGGTCTTATTGGCCTATTTATTACTGCGACATTCCTACACTTGAAAGAAGACATCAGTCTTTTGGTAGATATATAAATTTAATGAGAGTTTGCTTACTTGAATAAATTAATGGAAGTTAAATGATGAATGCCTTGTTTTGTAGAACTTACAAATTGTTTTTATATTTTAACGCTTTGATTATTAGGGACTAGTAATAAACTGGTTGGGGGGTGTGTTTAGTACTTAAAAATGTATTTTTATCAAGGTTTTATATCATCATTTTGCAATTTAAATATGAATAACTCCTTAATTAGAGCATGTTTTATAATATCATGTCTAATACTATAAAATATCTTTAATTTATGGTAAATATTCATCCTAAATACAGGCCTATCACATAAATAAAATGATTGATTAATAAGTTTAACTTCTAAAATTTAGAAGACAAGGAGAGGGCAAAGCTTAGAAAAAAAATATTGATTAGTTCAAACTAGAACACTGTTTGGTCATTGGACCATAACTAAAGCTGTAGAACTTGGATTTAGGTCTGATCTATATGGATTGAAAGCTAAGATATAGGCCTAAAGCTTTCATGAGGAGTCCAAGATTTAAAAAGGCTCCTTTTGAGTTTAAATTGTAGCTATAACGGAGAAATCTAAATTTGTCCTGCAGCCCAGACACTATTCAATGTTCAGCATATATCTCGAGTTCTAAAAGTTCAAATGACCTTATTTTTTTGTTGGAAAGCTGAGACAATTTCCGAAAACTTTTATAAGGACAATTTGTTTAAATTCTGATGTTAGTAATGATATATGGTTCAGATAAGAAGATAAGTATTGTCACCAAATCAAGATGTAGCTACCCATTCAACAATTAGTCAACAAATCAATAGTTTTAAATTTTGGCCTATAAAAGGAGGCATTTGCCATGCATTAGTGGATCTTTTAATCTTAACAACTATTTTTATTATTGTTTAATCTTTACATTACTCTTACATTTCAAAGTCCTATTTAACTCATTTCCACCACCACCATCATCATTATTATCATTATCATTATCATCATCATTATTATTATTTATATAGTTAACTTCTCTATAGTTCAATCCTAGTCTTGTTAGGTTATTTATTACTTCGACACTCTTACACTTGGGAGAAGACATTAATCTTTTGGTCGTGTCACTCGTCAAATCTACATATAGCTAGGCTCAACGCTTAGTTGAACTGATAGATAGTAGGCCTAACAACTTGCTAGACCCTCACAAGTTTGGGCTTAATGCTTGATTAAACCTAAAAATAATGAGTTATTACTCTCTTTTTGGTTATTTTTTGAAGGGTAGATCCAAACAAAAACGATAGATGTTGACGCATTATTATACATATGAAATCATAATTCATGCACATCTTATTAGTCTTTAGCTAGTTTTTTTTTTTTTATAATAATCAAGTGTATTAAATAA